CCAGGCACTTGAAACATCATCCACCGCTTTCCCAGGCACATGAGCAGGAAGCTGGATCCGAAGTGGAGAAGCCAGGACTCGAACCAGCACCCAAATGGAGTGGCGATGTCTCGGTCAGTAGCTTAAGATGCTACACCACAACACCAGCCCCTGTGGGCTCTTTTTAAAAAAAAAATATATATATATATACTTATTTCTTTGTTTTCATTTTATTTGAAAGGCATAGAGACAGAAATCTTCCACGGTCTGGAGTAGTTCCCCATATGCCTGCAACACCCAGAGCTGGATGAAGCTGAAGCCAGGAGCCGGGAGCTCCATCTGGTGGTCACCCCTGGGTGTGTCCGGGAAGTAAAGCCACAGCGTATCCAACAGTAAGTACTGCCAGTTCATCCACCAGAGGCATTTCCCCCTATAGGACCCCGTAACCATTCAGAGCTGAGGCCTGCCACCATGCCCCAGCTTCTGGAGGAGATCGGGGTCTCTGGGAAGGCCCACCCCACATCCCCGCCTGGACGGAGCTGGGCGGGAGCTGTCCTTGCGTGTCCACTTGTTCCACGGGTGTTCCATCTTGCTGGTGTTTGTGGGCATCGGATGCTGGCGGGGTACCCTATGGTTTGAGGATGCTGGGAGGAGGGGCGGCCCCAGCCTCCAGTTCTGTCTAGGGAGGTGGGTAAGTCTTGGATTTTTTTGGGGGGGGGGTGCACCTGCAGGGGATGGCAAGTTCTTGGGAAATCTGCTCCGGGAGAGAGGGTCCAGGCGCCAGCTCGAGGCTCACAGGTGGCGCTTCATGTGCAAAGCCAGGTGATCGGAGCGCGGGAAAGCGCGCGGGCAGAGCTGGCAGCGGAAGGGGCGCTGGCCAGTGTGCTTCCTGTAGTGGCGGGTCAGCTCGTCGGAGCGTGCGAAGCTCCAGCCACAGCCGTCCCACGTGCAGGCATAGGGCTTCTCCCCTGGGGTGGGGTGGGGGATACAGGGCCAGAAAGCCATGAGTGAGATGGGGCTGGTCCCACCTACCTCCCGAGGTCCCTGCCGGCTGGCTGCACATTTGACTTACAGGGAGGGGACCTGGGCCTCTGATGCCCCCTCCACCTAGGGACCATGCACCTGCGACCCTGCTCCCTAGTCCTGGGGTCCTGCCCCCTTACACTCCAAGCCCGGGACCCTCAGGGGCCAGCGGGTCTGTGCACACACAGGTGCCTCTGATGCCCCCTCCACCTAGGGACCATGCACCTGCGACCCACTCCCCAATCCTGGGGTCCTGCCCCCTTACACTCCCCGCCTAGGCCTGTCCCCTCCCTGCTGCGACCCTGGGCCAGTTCTGGAACCGCCGCCAAGGGCCTTCAGGGCCGCTGTCCCGCTCCCCGCTTGCCCTCCTCCAGCTCCACGCCGAGCGCCCACGTCCAGCCCGTGGTCCAGGTCCAACCTGGCCGAGAGCGCCTCACTGCACCGGCCTCCAGCATCCTGACCCCTGCACTCGCTGCCCCGCCCCATCCCACTAGACCCCTCCCCCGCTCCCTCAGCCCCGCCCCCGGCCCCGCCCCGGCCCCTAAGCCCCGCCCTCACCTGTGTGCGTGCGCTGGTGCGCCTTGAGGTGCGAGCTCTTGGTGTAGCTCTTGCCGCAGCCCGGGTGCTCGCACACGTGCACCGCTTGCCTCTTGCGCGCCAACGAGCACCGGCTGCGCTTGCTGGGCGCCGCGGCCGCCAGGAGATCAGGGTCTCCCGGGGGTCCCCGGCCGAGTCCCGCACCCCCCGCTGCGGCGCCCACGAAGGAGGGCACGGCGGCGGCGCCCCGCAGGAGCTGGAAATGGCCCTGATACTGCGGGGTCCGGTAGAGCGCGGGGTACCCGGGCAGCAGCTCGTAGTGGGAGCCGGGCCCCGCCGCTGCAGGGAGCGCGGGCCGTGGGGGGAAGTAGCTGCCGGAGCCCGGGTACCCCGGCTGCAGCGCCAGCTCCCTGGGCGCAGGGCCCGGTGCCAGGGCTGCACCTGCAAAGGCGTCGGGGCCCAGGGCACGCGGGGCAGGGCGCGCCCAGCCGGACGACGGCTCGTCGGGCCCCACGAGCGCAGGCACCAGCCCCGGGCCGCCCCCGTAGGCGCCCAGAGCCTCGGGCAGCGGCGGGTAGGGCGCGGAGGGGCTCTCGCTGCTTGGGGTCAGACCTCCAGAGCGGCTCAGGCAGCTGAGCTCCGGGCTGGGGAAGCTGCTGAGGAGCAGGTCCAGGTTCCAGGCAGCGCTCTCGGCAGGCTGCTGCTGCTGCTGCTCTTCGTCCTCGCCGGCGTTCACGGTCAGGCCGTCGGGCTCCAGCTTCAGGTGGAAGGGCTCAGGGGGACCTGGGCCCAAATCCTGCACCTCCGTGGAACGCCACCACTGTGGGAGCCAGAGGGCAAGCTGAGCTGAGAGCTGGGGACCCGGCTTTGGATAGGGCCCCACAAAGGCTGAGCGCAGGAAACAGAGGGGTGTCGCCCACCGCCCCCCTAAAGTCCCCCCACCCCCAGCCACCCTCCTCCGGCTCCCAGGGCCCAGAGGTTGATGAAGGGGCTTGGCTAGAGATAAGACTCCACTATCTGGAGCCACACTCGGATGGGGGATGGGGTGGCCAACAGAGGGAGGACGGGAGGTTGGAGGAGCGGGATGCTTGACTCAGTTTCCCCTCCTTCCCCCACCCGCCATTGATCCCCTAACAAGAAGAATTCTCAAATTTTGCTATCAGAATATCAGACGGCTCCGTGCAATGCACCATGTCTATCCAGGGGATTTCAAAGCCTCAGTTTGCTGATATGGAAATGGGCTCCTCCTAGCACCACAAGCCCCTGCTCTCAACCAAGCCCCCACCCCACCGCCCATCGCCACCACCCCGTCCCAGCTCCAGCTCCAGCTCTGACCCCTCCCTCTGGCTTCTTTCTGCCTGCCTCCCCAAGTCCTGGTCCACAGCTAGATGGAACCCTGAACCCCACCCCCCCAGACCTGGCCCACAGCTAAACATAACTCTGGACCCTAGACCCCCAACTGTCACCCCGAATCCCTCCCCCTCCCACAGCCAGCCCACCCACACTCCACCTTGAAATATTCCTGGGTCTCCGGGAGGGGCCCCGGGGCAGTGAGGGTGCTGATGGAAGGCAGTGCAGTGTCAGCCGTGGCCATGGTGTGGTGCCCACCCCGGGGGCTCCAGCTGCCTGCCGCTCTTCTGGCTGCAGAGCGGGCGGCACGGGCTCCGCCTCTCCGATGGGCCCCTGGAAGGGCTCCTGTCTGCCCTCGCTTGATTGGCCAGGGCGCCTGATAAAAGGTCAGGCCAGGCAAGGCGAGGGGGCGGAGTGGGTGACTTTCTGGGGAGCAGACCTCACCTCAGCGTGTCTGGGGGCCAGCACCAACCCTGTTTGCCAATGCCAAGTCAGGGGTCAGGGGCGGGGGTGTGTGTCTGGGTAGAGACTCAGACCCGGTGTCTGAGCAAAGGGAGATGTGGGGTGGGTAGGTGGGCCCTGCTGCCGGCCAAAGGGTGGCAGGCAGAATGGGCACTGTGGGAAGGGGCTCAGGACCCACCCCACCCCACCCCCTTCCTTCCCCTGCACACCTCCCCCTCCTCAGCGAACACAGCAACAACGGTGGTGCTGGTGGCGGGACTTGGCACGGCCTCCTGCCTGTCATTATCAGGCATAACAGACGCTACAGGCTGCTATCAGGTATATGGGGCAACCATCGCTGGGTTCCTTGGTGAGTGGGGGAGCCCGGGGGGGGGGGGACTGGGCCTGTAACGTCACCTGGCTGCCTGGGTCACGAGCTCCCCAGCCAGTGCCCCTCACTGGTAGTAGCTGCTGTGGGCCCTAGGACGGCCCTGGAAGGGGCTGGCTGCATAGGGACAGAGGCAGAGAGGGATGCTTTGCTTTGGGGTGGGGGCCTGGCTCTGGCTGGGTTTTTGCCCCACCCCCCAAAGTGGGGGAATGCAGAGCGATGTCCCAGGGAGGAGAACTGAACACCCATCCCCAACATATGTGTGGTCCCCATGCATGAAATTACATGATCACCCAATGTAACATGGTGCAGCCGGGCAATAGCACCTGGTGGCAGTGAACACATGGGGTAGTTTTTCAAGATTTTTAAAATTTATTTTTATTGCAAAGTCAGATATACAGAGAGGAGGAGAGACAGAGAGGAAGATCTTCCATCTGATGGTTCACTCTCCAAGCAGCTGCAATGGCTGGGGCTGCACTGATCTGAAGCCAGGAGCCAGGAACTTCCTCCAGGTCTCCCACGCAGGTGCAGGGTCCCAAGGCTTTGGGCCGTCCTCCACTGCTTTCCCAGGCCACAGGCAGGGAGCTGGATGGGGAGTGGGGCAGCTGGGACTCAACTGGAGCAGAGAGGGGATGCAGTTAACCGGCTGTGCCGAGCCTGTCTGACAGGGGAAGCCGGGCACCTTCACTATGCAAAACTGCACCCTGAACGAGAGAGGGCAGTGACCCACATCAGGGAGACCCGCATGGGAGACCCGAAAGAAGCTCCAGGCTCCTGGCTTTGGATTGGCTCAATTCCATTACAGCCACTGGGGAGTGAATCATCGAACGGAAGATCTTTCTCTCTGTTTCTCCTCTCTGTATATCTGACTTTGCAATGAGGATAAACAATATTTTTAAAACGCGATTTATATATATACTTATAAATAACAAAGGACTCATAAGGAAGTCCTTGGGTCGTCCTCTGCTGCTTTCTTAGGCCACAAGCAGGGAGCTGGTGGGAAGAGAAGCAGCCTGGATTCGAACCGGCGGCCTTCGGAATGCTAGCGCCACAAGGTGAAGGATTGGCACGCGTCGGCCTCCGTAACTCACTCCGGGTGACCTTCGCGAAGATTTCTACAATTGGCCAATCCAAAGTGGGCCGAGCCCCTCCCAGAGCCAATCAGAGCTGGAGGGAGGCGGATCCAGCACCCTGGCAGACCCGCGCTCCGCCCCCTCGCGGCTGGCGCGGCGTCTGGGGGGCGGGGCCTCGTACTGACCAATAGGAGGCCGCGCTTGCTCCCCGCCCACCTGCGGCGGCCGTGAAAGTTTTGGTTTAGTAGCGTGGGGATTCCGGACGCGGACAGGTGAGGCGGGCGCGGGGCCCGGGGGTCCCGGGGTGCTGGGGGTCTCGGGGGGCAGGCGAGGCCGGCATGGGGGCCCGGGGACAGGCGAGGCGGGCATGGGGTCCCGGGGACAGGCGAGGCGGGCATGGGGCCCGGGGACAGGTGAGGCGGGCATGGGGTCCCGGGGACAGGTGAGGCGGGCGCGGGGCCCGGGGGTCCTGGGGTGCTGGGGGTCTCGGGGGGCAGGCGAGGCGGGTGCGGGTTCCCGTGTTCCCGGGGGCAGGCGAGGCCGGCATGGGGCCCGGGGACAGGCGAGGCGGGCATGGGGTCCCGGGGACAGGTGAGGCGGGCATGGGGGCCCGGGGGTCCCGGGGTCCTGGGGTGCTGGGGGTCTCGGGGGGCAGGCGAGGTCGGCATGGGGCCCGGGGACAGGCGGGCACCTCCGCGCTGACTCCCCGGCTCCTCCAGGTCGCGGACGCCGCCATGGCTGCCCTGGCGCTGCGGGGCGTTTCGGTGCGGCTGCTGAGCCGTGGGCCCGGGCTGCGTGGCTTGCGCGCCTGGATCTCGGCGAGCGCACACAGCGGTCAGTGCGGGGGTCGGCGTGGCCGGGGTCGGGGGTCAGCGTGGCCGGGGTCGGGGGTCAGCCTGGCCGGGGTCGGGGGTCGGGGGTCAGCGTGGCCGGGGCCGGGGGTCAGGGGTCGGCGTGGCCGGGGGTCAGGGGTCGGCGTGGCCGGGGGTCAGGGGTCAGCGTGGCCGGGGCCGGAGGCCGGGGGTCAGCGTGGCCGGGGCCGGGGGTCAGCGTGGCCGGGGGCCGGGGGTCAGCGTGGCCAGGGTCGGGGGTCAGCCTGGCCGGGGCCGGGGGTCAGGGGTCGGCGTGGCCGGGGTCGGGGGTCAACGTGGCCGGGGTCAGGGGTCGGGGGTCGGCCTGGCCCCCTCGCAGCGCGCTGTCTCTGTCTCCGCAGGCGCGAGGAGCGGGGAGGCGCGGAGCCGCCCTGCGCAGGGTAAGAGGCCCGGGAGCAGCTGTGCCGAGTGTCCACTCCCCTCGGTGGACTCTGCCCGCCCCGGGGTGAGAAGGCCTGCCTGCGGCGGCGGGTGGCCCGGCCGCGGTCCTGCTCACCCCCGCACCGCCCTCCCCGCCTCCTCGCCGCAGCCTCGCGCCCGGACTTTGACTGGCGGGACCCTCTGCTGCTGGAGGAGGAGCTGACGGCCGAGGAGGTCCTCATCAGGGACACGTTCCGCACCTACTGCCAGGAGCGGCTCATGCCGCGCATCCTGCTGGCCAATCGCAACGAAGGTGCCCCGAGCTTCTCCCCTTCTCCCTTCGGCGCCCTGGGGCTTGGAGACGGGGCGTCTGCCCTTGTAGACCCTGGGGACAGGGCACCTCCCCGGGCCGCCTGCCCTACCGGCGCCCTGCGGCTCGGGACGGGGTGTCTGCCCTTGTAGACCCTGGGACACAGGGCGTACCACTGAGGCTGATCTTGGGTGTCTCGCGGGCCTCCTTGCAGTTTTTCATCGGGAGATCATCTCGGAGCTGGGCGAGCTGGGCGGGCTGGGCCCCACCATCAAAGGTAGGAGCAGCCCCAGCCGCGTCCTGGCTAGTCCAAGGGGCCACAGTGCGGGCTGGGGAGCGGGTGCCCTGTGGCCCCTCCTGCCCCTCCTCTCCTCCCCCCAGGGTACGGCTGTGCGGGCGTCTCGTCCGTGGCCTACGGGCTGCTGGCCCGCGAGCTGGAGCGAGTGGACAGCGGCTACAGGTCGGTGATGAGCGTGCAGTCGTCCCTGGTCATGCATCCCATCCACGCCTACGGCAGCGAGGAGCAGCGGCAGAAGTACCTGCCCCGGCTGGGTGAGAGGCCGCGGCTCCCTCGGGCCTGGGATCTGCCAGCTGGGGAGCTGGGGACGCCTGGCCTCACTGCACGCGAGCCCTCTGTGTCGGCTGACGTGCTGTGTGCCCCACGTCCCAGCCCAGAGCCCGAGCCTGGAATGAAACCCAGGTCCTCGGGCTGCGTGTGGCCAGGCCTTTGCGGCTGATCTGAACGGCCGAGTTGTGGAGAGACATCTTGCACCTGCTGGTTCACTCTCCAGATGCCCCAACAGCTGGCCTGAGCCAGGCCAGGGGCCTGCAACTCCCTCTGGGTCTCCCATGTGGCTAGCAGGAAGCCCCAGCGCTTGGGCCACCGCCCACCGGCTTCCCAGGCCCATTAGCAGGGAGCTGGATTGAAGTGGAGCAGCTGGGACTTGAACCCAGCGCTCATGTGGGATGCTGGGGTCACAAGACGACAGTTTTACCCCCTGTGCCACAGCCCCTCCCATCGAGCTCAGCTTGGGTGCCCTCAGACCTCTGCAAAGCCTGTCCCCTAGGGTCCTCCCCAACACCCCCCAGCTTCCCCTCACTCCATCCTGCCCCCATCCTAGCACCATGACCATGGCTTGTGTGGGGGTTGGGGAACCTGTCGCTGCCCCCAGGTCCGTGGGCCAGGCAGCCACATGACCCTGCCCTGCACCTGCAGCCACGGGGGAGCTCCTGGGTTGCTTTGGGCTCACGGAGCCCAACCACGGCAGTGACCCCAGTGGCATGGAGACCACAGCCCGCCACAACCCTGCCAACAAGACTTACGTCCTCAATGGGACCAAGACCTGGTGAGGGGCCTGGGCAGAGACGGGCGGTTGGGCAGCGGCGGGTGGGCTGGCTCTCACCCAGTGCCTTCCCCCAGGATCACCAACTCGCCCGTAGCCGACCTGTTTGTGGTGTGGGCTCGGTGTGAAAATGGCCGCATCCGGGGCTTCCTGCTGGAGCGGGGTGTGCGGGGCCTCTCGACCCCCAAGATCGAGGGCAAGTTCTCCCTTCGGGCCTCGACCACGGGCATGGTCGTCATGGATGGCGTGGAGGTACCCGAGGACAGCATGCTCCCCGGTGCAGACGGCCTGGCGGTGAGTGTCGGCCCTCCACCTGCCCCGGACACGCGTGGGACAGAGCCACTGTTGCGATCCCAGGGGTCCCACGGGTGTCTTCCTCGTCTCCCACACTAACTGTGCTCTGGGTGTGAGCGTGGCACGCGGCTGCCCGGCGGGGCGGGCAGGGCTGCTTTAGCCAGCTGCCCCGTGTCCCCGAGCTGGCTCTGGATGGACCCCGGGGTCTCCCCCTCCAGGGGCCCTTCGGCTGCCTCAACAATGCCCGCTACGGCATCACGTGGGGCGTGCTCGGGGCCGCCGAGTTCTGCCTGCACACGGCCCGGCAGTACACCCTGGACAGGTGCGTGGGGACCGCCCAGCCATCTCCCTGGAGTGGAGTGGGGCCAGCTTGGGGTTCAGAAGCCTGCACCCTAGCCTTCTCTGGCTTAAGCCTGAGCCACACTGGGATCTCGGGGTGGGAGTGGGGTGCAGGCCTCCCCTGAGGTTCCCAGTGACCTGGCCTGCCCGCTTGGGCACCCCGCCCAGGCTGCAGTTCGGTGTTCCCCTGGCCAAGAACCAGCTGATCCAGAAGAAGCTGGCGGACATGCTCACCGAGGTGACGCTGGGCCTGCACGCCTGCCTGCGGCTCGGCCGTCTGAAGGACCAGGACAAGTAAGGGCCAGGCAGCCTGTATGTGTGCGTGTGCTTCTCTCGGCCTCTGCGGGCCCTGCCTGGTGGCCGGGGAACATGTGTGTGTCGCCCCCTCCTCACCTCTATGGACTCCTGCTGGCAGCTGGGTGCCCCTACACCCTTGGGTGCCTGTGTATACGTGAGGGGGTCCAGGCAGGGTCAGCCATATGGACGCACCCCTCCCAGGGCCACCCCCGAGATGGTCTCCCTGCTAAAGAGGAACAACTGTGGGAAGGCCCTGGATGCCGCCCGCCAGGCCAGGGACATGCTGGGGGGCAACGGGATCTGCGACGAGTACCACGTGATCCGGCACGCCATGAACCTCGAGGCCGTGAACACCTACGAAGGTGGGTGCCGCCCGGTGCGCGGGGGCGCAGTGTGCTTGCCCCCTCAGTCGGGGCCCTACAGCCCTCCTGGCTGGCTGGGGAGCAGGGAGACGTGGAAAGAGTTCATCACAAGCGGGGTTACCCAAGCAGGGACGCAAAGACATGGGGGCGTCGCTGGGGCTCCCCGTGCAGACAGCCTCCGTGTGCTGGGCCCGGAGTCGTTCCTGTGGGGAGCAGAGGGGGCGAGGTCCCCAAAGGTGTGAGGGTGACCCTGTGGGGTGGGGGCACTGCGGTGGCTTTGCGGGACCCCGACCTGGCTTCTGCATGGCCAGACAAGGAAGCCAGCAGGATTGAAAACATCAAACATTTAATAGAGTGTGTGAGAGCGGGGCAGAGCTGTGGGCTGGGGTGCCCGGGCCTCACTTTGGGGCCTTGCACCAGGGGCCCTGAGGTTCGCCTTGGCCAAGACTCCACACAGAACTCTGAAAACAACCTGCGGCCGCAGCCCGGCCGTGGCGCCCGTTGTCTCGGGCCTGGGGTGGCGGGTGACCCGTCAGCATTCACCGTCCTTGTGGCTCTGTTCTTCTGAGAAGGGGCCAGCCTGTGGGCGAGGGTGGGTGACACGTTAGACTGACTCAGGAGGGGGCTGGGAGCTGTCCCAGGTGAGGAGGGCGCCCCCAAATTGCTCCCATTCTGTGTTCAGGCACGCATGACATTCACGCCCTGATCCTCGGAAGGGCCATCACAGGCCTGCAGGCGTTCAAGGCTGCCAAGTGACCCTGCCTCCCGGACGGCCGCCGGGCCTGTACCCTGGGCGCCAGGCTCAGCTGGGGAGGTGATGCAGAGGGACCTGGCCCGTGTCGGGGGACAGCGACAGGCAAGGACGCCCGGCAGCCAAAGCACCGAGGACTCTGCTCAGCGCGTCCTGCCCACTTTCCACCACGAACAAGACACAGCCAAGAGCCAGGCAGGGAGAGGCCCGAGGGCGGCCCTGACCCCCGGCTTACCCCACACTGAGCCACGCTGGGGGCAAGTGCCATACTTCCTCTGGACCCCAGGGCAGGGCGGGTGAGGGCCATGAAAATAAAGAGCACCCGTGCACCTGAGCCCCGGGTCTCACTTGCCCGCCGGCCCCCTGGGCACTCGCCAACACGCCTGGGGCTGTGGGTCACCGAGCCATGCGGAACAGCCTCCTGGCCTGTGTCTCGGTGTCAGGGCCGCTGTGAGAGCCGAAGCCCGGCTCAGGCCCCGGCCGCTCACCAAGGGAGCAGGGCCGGGTGCCCCGACGGCCTCGCTGACCTCTCCCCGCCGGCCCCGGGAGCTGGCCCCGCACCTCGGGCTGCTGGCACAGGTCCTTGTACACCGTCTCCACCGAGTGGCACACTTGCTTGAGCTCCGCCTCCAGGTGGCTGATGTTGGCCATCTTCTGGGTGAACTCCTGCAGCTTCTCCTGGATGAGCCGGTTGTGGTGGTCGTAGAGCTGGTACATCCTCTCCTCCAGCTTCTCGGTCAGGTCTGACACCTGCAGGAGGGCCGGGGCCGGAAGCGACAGATGGGGCGCTGGGCGGAGCCCGCCACACCCCCTGCGCCCTCTGCCCCCACTGGGTCTGTGTGTCTAGGGATTCAGCCGACTGTGGACTGGAAACAGGAGCACGCAGCCGTGCGCGCGCGGCCCGAGACCGGCCCGGGGCACCGGCAGCTGTGGGCGGGCTGGGCATGCCTCTCCCTGCCCAGGGTCCTTTGGGGACCGATGGTGTCATTTACAGGCCGCCTGCCGCTGGATGGGATGAATGGTGTGCCCGCCTGTGGCTTCGGGGGACCTGCCCACTCCCCTCCTACCCCATGGAAAGTCTGGGTGCTGATGTGGACTGGGGGATCCATAGGGGTCCTGGCCCCAGCACCCTGTGGACAGCCTGCTCCTCCCCACCACTCCCACAGCCTTCTGGGAAGTGCGAGGGCTAGGCTGCAGGTGCACTTCTGGTTCTGCAATGGGGCCTCAATGTCCTCATCCAGAAGATGGGTCCAGTCTCTCTTCTGGGCTGGTCCCTGGGGTGAGGTGAGGCACTTCAGGGCAGCCGCCTGGGACTCAGCGGGCACTCAGTGGTCACCCCTTCCCTCCCCTTCTACGGGAAGCTGGCCCTCTGTTCCCTGCAGTGGGGACTGGCACCTTGTTCTTGAGGCTGTCCCTGAAGTTGGTCATGAGCGCGTGGTCCTTCTGCCTGCTCTCGTTGATGCTCTCGATCAGCTCCTGGGCCCTCTTCTTCAGGACGTCGATGCTCGAGTCCAGCGAGGAGAAGTAGGCACCCGTCTTCCCCTCCAGTGTGGGTGGTGGGCGGCTGGCACTGGAGGTGGCAACAGAAGGGCTAGAGACCTGACTTCTGAAAGTACAGGAGACCAACATCAGGATGGGCCCCGCCCAGGAGAAATCAGGAGAGGAGGGGTCAGGCCAGGCCCCGCCCAGGGGAGGAGGGGTCAGGCCAGGCCCCGCCCAGGGGAGGAGGGATCAGGATGGGCCCCGCCCAGGGGAGGAGGGGTCAGGATGGGCCCCACCAAGAGGAGGCTATGGCAGGTAGACCCTGTGTAGCTACCTTCTTGGGAGACACCTTGCACTTTCCCTTGGTTGGTTCATTCACACCTGCCCAGAGGGGCAGGGGCACACTGTTTTCTTCGTTTATTTTTTCATTTCATTTTGCTGGGGATACATACACAATCGAGGGGTTTTCCCTTGCTGGTCCACTCCCCAAATGCCCATGACAGCTGCGGCTGGACCAGGCTGACGTCAAGAGCCTCAGTCTCAGGCGGGGTCTCCCAGGTGAGCAGCGAAGGCCCAAGCACCTGAGCTAGCCCCGCTGCCGCCCAAGGTGCACACGAGCAGGGAGCCAGATGCAAACCAAGCAGCTGGGAGCCCCAGGCACACTAGCAGTGACATCAGACCTGGTCCAAAGAACAGTGCACGCAGACTAAGTGTGCCCAGACCAGGAGACCTGCCAGGCCCGGAGCCCACACGCATCTGACAACCAACTTGTTTCTTTGGAACGGCCACCCACAGCACAGGGCCAGGGGTGAATGCTGTGGCACAGCGGGCTGAGCAGCCCTTTGGGACACCTGCAGCTAGTGGGGGAGGGGTGCCTGGTGAGTCTGGGCTACTCTGAGTTCTAATTCAGTTTCCTGGCCGTGCACGTGGGAAAGCAGCAGACAGCCCAAGACACACCAGGCTCCCTGCTCCAGCTCTGGCTGTGTGGCCATGTGGGGAGTGAACCAGCAGAGGAAAGATCCCTCTCTACCTACCTCTGCCTTTAACAGAAAACTTTCACATCTTTACTTTTTAAAAGAACCCGAGAGTCACGGGAGGAAGCTGTGCCTGCGAACGCTGTGCGTGCCTGGTCTCTGGGCCATCCGTCAGCCCACGTGTCTGGGTCACCTTCCTCTCTCCTGCCCCCAGGGGCCATTCCAAACCTCCAGGACTCCCCGGCCCTGACCCACACCTGGCTCCTTCCACCGCCCCCGTCGGTGTATCTACCACGACCCAGCTGTGGGCCGGACGTGCCTGCCTCAGCCCCCCCACCCCGGCCCCTCTCCGCCCCTCACACCTCGAATGTCACAGCCGGGCAGGCTCCTGCCTCTCCTCCATGAACCAGGCGCAGCCTGGCTGGCAGACATTCCCCTTCCCCCACCAATGTCCCACCAAGTTCTCGGTGGGGTTAAGTGGGCAGGGCGAGTGGAGCCACCAGCCCCGCCTCCTCGCTCAAGCCTGGGCCCGCCGGCCGTGCTCAGCCTCTCCGTGGCCATCCAGCCCGAGAGGGGCCACAAATGGATGCCAAGGACATGCCTGACTCGTGAGGCTGCTCTCTCGCCAACCAGCAGCCCTGGCCTCTCTCCCGGAGCGCCCAACCTCCTAGGAGACCAGCTGCTGCCCCTCTCCGCTCGCGACCGCGCTGCGGAAACGAGCATTCTGCCTTGGAGCCTGGCTTCTCTCTCTGCTCCTCTCGGTCCTCCTCGGCAGCCCCACCCTTGTCATCTCTTCCCAGGCACAGTGACTTTTCAAACTGCGTCTAGAGCCCCCCACCCCCGGCACACACAGCGCCGCCCCCCTTGCAGACACGAGGTCAGGTCTAGCTGGTCAGGGCCCTCCCCATCAAAAAACCCAATGATGTCACCATGCTTCCTTTTTTGTGTGGCATTGTTTGCCACCAGCTGCAAGTGCCAAAGCCGCCCTGACGCCTCTCTCCAGAGGCCCAAGGGATGAACACGGCAAGGGGTTCTCCTGGCGGCAGCAGCAGGCGCAAGTGGCCAAAAATCGCCGGGATTCAACCAGCTCCCATTTGGTGTGGGACAAAAGCCCGCCTCGGAGCCCGTCTTTATTTTGCCGAGCCTCTCCTTTGGCGGGGGACTCGAGTCTGTTACATTTCATTTTTTTTTTTTCCCTTCATACTCAGCAGCTGCATATTAATCAGGATGTTAATGAATCCTTGGCTTCCCCAGGCCTGCATTCACCAATTAACTTTAATAAACAAAATGTGTGGCGGCCTCGCCGCCGGCTTCTCAGGGAGGCCCCAAGGCCGGCTTTTTCGGCTGTGCCCTGGACGTGGGCCCAGCTCTGCACGCCCGAGGAACAAGGCCTGCTCGGGGGCCCCTGGAGGTGTTGGCCGGGGCTCAAGGGGGGCTTGCAAGCACACGGCTGCGCTCATCTATTATGAGCTGTCCTTCTGGGGATCCCCTAACTCGGCTGCATGGATTAGGACGCGTCCCAAGCAGGGCCCTGCGGGGCTGGCAGGGGCCCAGGAACCACGCAGGAAATGGGGCTGAGCGGGCAGACCATCTGCTCGCTCCAGTAAAGCTGCGATTGGCAGGCCAGCCGGCCAGGGCCGCCCGCCACTGGGGCCTCCCCACGTGGCCTCTCGCACACACAGTAAACAAGCCGCCAGCCACTTAGGAGCATCATCCCGGTGTGGCGGGCCCGGGACGCGCTGGTGGCTAGCAGACATGGGAGGAGGGGAGAGGAGAGGAGAGGTCTGAACGGGAGCTGAGCTCCCCCAACCCCCCCTGCTCCACGACGTGCTAACATTTTAATCACGCCGCCGCCGAGTGTGCTAGCCAGGTCGGTTAGCAGGCCCCAGCCTTTTTGGCCGAGTTCTCCTGGGGCTCCCTGAAGCCTTTCAATGCTCTGTGACTTGTCTGTGTCTCCTCAGGATGGAAAAGCTCGTGCATAGTGGCATTAAAGGATGGCTATTTGGGTGCAAAAGCAAACAAAAAACACAACTGCAATCCGTGCAGTTTTTCATGAGCTTTTTGAAGATTTCTCATATGCACGGACTGATTGTTTTTTGTTTTAACTAAAATGAGCCTCTCCTTTAATTGCAATTCCACGCGCTGTCTGAAGCCCACGGGTGGATCCTGATCTGCTCAAGCGACTGGGGGCCGGCACGGTGGCACAGCGGGGTACCCTGTGGGGCCCGGCAGGACCAACAATCGCTCACGTAGCAACCTCCAATGCGTCAAGTCCAAGGGCACCTATGTTTCCAACAGGGCACGTGATCATTAGCCTGTTTGGGCGGTAGTATTTAAAAATTATTTTTGAAAAACGCATCATGTATTTTTGTTGAACGGTAACATTTTTGGAAAGAGCACATTGAGCATGGAACGCACCACAGAGTAGGGTCAACAGAACCTTCCCATGCTCTGGGAAACCCAAACTATTTGGGGGGATCTGTTTCAGGGGCGTCCGACTGGAAGCGAAGGCCTGCCTGGATCAGGTACTAAAAGCCACCCAGAGGCTGTGCAGATGGAACAGCCCGTTACAGAAAGGAGCAGGTCCTGGATAAAGAAGGTTCTAGAACCAAGCCGGGGGGGGGGGGGGGGGGCGCCAGGGGCCTCCTCCACCTGAGGGTTGTGTTCCCAGCACCATCGCTGACCCCCCCCCCCCCGCGGGGCACCCTGTGGAAGGATCTGGAACCCTGTGGAAGGATCTGGAACCCTGTGGAAGGATCTGGAAGGAGCGTCCTCACCTGGCCGGCCCGCTGCCAGCCTCCTCTTGCTCAGAGGTCTCCTCGCCCTGCAGATGCTCCCTGCTGAGCGCCAGGGGCGCGGGCTCCGGCTCCCTGCAGTCCATGTGGGCCAGGTCCACCTGTGGGCACAGCCGGCCGCCAAGGGGGTCAGAGCCGCGCGCGGGGCAGGGGGCGACGGGGGCACAGGTGGGCACGGGGGGCACGGGGGGCACGCACACGCGCGCGAGCGGGGACAGGCGCTCCCAGCCAGTCCGGGTGTCCGCTCGAGGACACGGACGAGGCCGTAAAGCAGTGGGGCGCGGCCAGTCAGGCTGTCCGGGCCCTGTGGCCGCCATGCTCGACGGCGGCGTCGTCCAGTCAGTCAGTCGGTGGGAGAACAGGCTAGGGGCCCGGCGGCCAAGCTCGGGGCGGGCCGAGGGGTTGGGGAGCCGTCCGCCGCCCGTCCCCCCGCCGCCCGCGTCCCGGGAGCCCCCCGGGGGACCCCGAGCGCAGCCGCGTACTCCCTGGCGCTCCATGCCGCCGCCGTCGCCTTTCCCGCCTTCACGCTCGCGCCTCCTGCGCACGCGCAGCCCCGCCCTCGCCCTCCCCGCGCACGTGCCCCGAGGGGGCGGAGCCGCCGGCCGCTTGGCGACGGTTTGGGCTGCGCACGCGCAGCCCGCGCACGCGGGGATGGAGGATGTGTGCGCATGTGCGAGACGCCAGGTCCGCCATGGCGCCCGTGCTGGGTAACGATGGTGGCGGTGGTGTTGCCTTTGGGCCTCAGTTCCTCCCTTTGGATCCGGAATCTGTTTCTAAGGAAAGCCAACAACAACAACAAAAACCAAAAAGAAAAACCTCTGACCTCTACCGCGCTCTGTGGAGCTTAGTTCCCGATGGCCTTTAGCATGTCTTTGCACTGTTTCACAACAGAACTAACGGTGTATCTATTCCTTATTGGAAAGGCAGATCAGATTTGCAGAGAGGGGAGAGAGATCTTCCATCTGCTGCTGGTTCATTTCCCCACCTAGCTGTAATGGCTAGAGCTGAGCTGACCTGAAGCCAGGAGCTTCCTCTGGGTCTCCCACATGAATGCAAGGTCTCAAGGTTTTTTATTTATTTGTTTTTTTTCCATATAGACTGGGATCCCCCTGCCCCCCAACAGATTTTCCCCATTATACTATAATGGTATAGTCCTTCTTAAGGAATCATATCATTCCATCAGTCTGTTATTTAAGTGTACCACGACATTGCTGGTATAGACAATGTCTGACAGTCCAGGATCCCACTGGTCACACATTTCCAACAGTTTCATTGGGAATCCAACTGTTGTGTGGAAGCAGGAATGCATGCTGAGTTATACCCCCCCATCTGGATATGGCAGACCCCAGTACTCCCATCACTATATACATTTCCATAGCTGAAAAGCTATGAAACAATAACTGGTATGAGTTAAAACAACACCCGGTCTCAAGGTTTTACGCTGTCCTCGATTGCTTTTCCAGGCCACAAGCAGGGAGCTGGAAGGGAAGTGGGGTAGTCGGGACTGGAACCAGTGCCCATATGGAATCCCAGTGCTTGCAAGGTGAGACTTTGGCCACTTAAGCCATTGAACTGGGCCCTATGTTCATTTTGCATGAGCTTCTTGTAGTCCCTATCTCCCCCCAACTACCACTGAACTGATACAAATTCAAAATATCAGGCTGCTGTAGCAGTGACGGGGTGAACATGTGGTGCGAACGGGGCTGGCCTGGCGGTGTTATACCGACTGACAACGGCAATGGCATCTACCATGGGTGCTGGTTTGAGTCCTGGCCGCTCTGCTTCCCATCTGGCTCCCTGCTCACGCATCTGGGGAAGTCAGCAGAGGCTGGCCCACATGCTTGGGTGGCTGCCATGCACATGGGAGACCCAGGAGCAGTGCCTGCCTCCTGGCTGTTGTGGCCATTTGGGGACTCTCTCTCCCTCTCCATATTCTGCCTTTCAATAAAACAAACATCATTTAGTGATGCATTCAGAATTAGTTATTCGGTAATGTGATAGAGAGATCTTCCATCTGCAGGTCGCAGTCTAGCTGAAGCCAAGAGCTCAGAATTCCACCTTGGGCTCCCAAGTGGGTGCGGGGACCCAAGCGTGTGGACCATCCTCTTCCTCTGTTGCTTTCCTAGGTGCTGGAGCACAGGCGAACAGCCGGGACTCAAACCAGCGCCCACCATATGGGATGCTGAGGTGGCAGGTGGCAACTGCGTACTAGTTAGGCTGCCCCACTTTTCTTCACAGCAGCTCCCTCCCAGCTTCCTCTCCACCACCCAAGCTCCCGGTTTGCTCCCTGCCAGGACCCCGTACCACTAAGGAGAGATACCAAGTAAGAGAAATGGCCTCTTTATTGCAGGCAGTGGCTGCCTGGTGGGGCTGAGAGAAAGCGGCCACCGGACGGGGAGGAGACCCCTGCTCCTACCCCCTCCTGTACCCCAGCCCGGGGGTGGAGGAGATAAGGAGGAGTGGGGCAGGGGGGCAGAGCTGGAAGGGCTGGCCTCACAGAGGCCTTATAAATACAAGCAGCCTGGAGTGACAGCTCCCGGGACTGGGGACGGGGGCCGGGACCGGGGCAGGGGTGACCGTGGCAGGGACGCAGCCAGGGCAGGCTGTCACGTGGCCTCCTGCGTCCTCGGGGGCGCCGACTCGGCCTCCAGGCGGCACAGGGGACTGTCGTACACCATCTGCAGGTTCACCTTGTGGCCCACCAGCTCCCGGATGTTGTTGATGCCGTACTTGATCATGGTAGGGCTTGGAGGAAGGCGTGGAGGGTTGGGGGGGAACATGGGTAAGCTCTCGGCTGGGTGAGTCGGGCTCAGGCTCAGAACACCCTGGGGGCTCTCCCATCCCGTCAGGGGAGATGCCAGAGTCCTGCCTGTCCCTGCTCCCTTTCCCCCACCTCCACTCAGGGTCTTCTTGCCTCACTCCTTCCTCCCACCTGCCCGAGTCTGATCCCCCACCTCAGGGCTCTTGCACAGGTGGTGCCCGCTGCCTACAGTGGCCTTTCCCCAAGCTCATTCCATCCACCTCCACGCCTCCCTCCGATGGTGCCTCCTCCGTGCAGCCTTCCCTGACCCTCTAGACCACGCCTGCTCACTGCCCTCATGTTCCTAGGAGCCCGAGCCTCTGTTTCTGGTGCAGTGCAGGGCCTAGGGCCAGCGCTGCCTGGCTCAGGCTGGCAGGTGAGTGAAGCCACCTGCTCCGCTGACTCCTATCCCCCTGCAGAGCCCAGCCCAGGCACATACCGTTCCAGAGAGAGGCCCCAGGCGATGACCGACACGTTCTCAGGGAGCCCCATGGGCAGCAGCATCTCTGGGCGGAAGATTCCAGAGTTCCCGACTTCCACCCACTTCTTCAGGCCTGCAGGGGTGAGAGCACAGGGGCGGCTCTGGGGGCGCTGTTCTGGGGGGGGGGGGGGGGGGGCGCGCATAGCCACAGGGAACCTGCACTGTCTCCCTCCCTCCCCCGCCAGAGCTCTGGCTGACCTTGGTGGTAGCTGAACACCTCCATGCTGGGCTCCGTGTAAGGGTTGTAGGCCGGCTTGAAACGCAGCTGGGTGATCCCTGGAGGAGGCGGGGCTGGTGACCCTGGGGGATGCACTGCGGTGCCTACCCTCCCCTCTCCCCGGCTTCCAGCTCCTGCCCCCCAACTCCCCCAAGGCCACAGGCCCCAGCTTGGGGGCCCACCCACTCACCCAGCTTGGTGAAGAACTCCCGCAGGATGCCCATGAGGTGGCCCAGGTGGAGCCCGTGGTCAGCTACCACACCCTCGATCTGGTGGAACTCAGCCAGGTGCGTGGCGTCCAGGGTCTCATTTCGGAACACACGGTCAATGGAGAAGTACTTGACTGGCGTGAAGGGTTTCTGCGGAGCGGGTAGGAAGCGGGGAAAGGTGAGGAGGTGAGCGAGGACGGCAGGCCCATGTCCCTCCCTCCCAGCGCCCTGGCCAGCCAGCCAGCCCCACACCTTCTGTGCCAGTCGGTAGAGGGCGCGGGCACTGGCCGCCGTCGTGTGCGTCCGCAGCAAGTTCTTGCGGGCCTCTTCTAGCTTCCAGTTGTACTTGTACCTTGGGGATGGCAAGGCTGAAAGTCCGCCCGGGGCGATGCCCAGGGCTCTCCCTCCCCATCCCTGTCCCTGCCCGCTACTCACCCCTGTGAGCCATAGCCGCCCTGTGAGTGAGTCCGCTTGACCCGCTGCACATAGTCCGTGGGGAGCTGAAGGGTCTCTGCTGGATCTGGGTGGGGTGTGGCAGTGCCTGGTCACCAACCGGCCTCCCGCGGTCACTGTGCCTGAGGCGGAGTGGCACTCGCCCTTCCCGGCGCACCTGCGGCCTTCTCTCCCTGCGTGCCTCTCACTTCCACCCCTCCACGGCCCCACGCTGCTCCCGGCTCCTGGCAAAGTCCCACTCTCCTTGATGGGTGGCTCTGCCTCAGGTCCCTTCCAGCAGCTGCCCCCTCTGCTTGAAACTTTCCTTCCCCATATACAGCAACCTCCTTTGGCCTGTTGCTTAAGCCAAGACTTCAATTTTTAACGGATGCCTTTAATTTTGGGGATGTATTTATTTAGCTGAAAGGCAGAGTGAGAGAAGTAGGACAGACAGAGAGAGGTCATCCATCTGCCAGCTCCCTCCCCAGATGTCCACAATGGTGGCAGCTCAGCCACGCTGAAGCCAGAAGTTAGGAGCTTCTTCCAGGTCTCCCACGTGAGCGCAGGGACCCAAGCACGTGGGGGCTGCCCTCCACTGCTTTCCCACGAGCGCTGGCGGGGAGCTGGATGGGAAGTGGAGCAGCTTAGACACTCATGTGGCACTCATGTGGGACACCGTCTGACTTTGGGGCCAGCACTGTGGTCCAGCTGCCACTTGTCATGTTACCGGCACCCTGCTTTGGGGGGCAGTTTGAGTCCTGGCTGCTCCCCGCCAACTCACCTCGCAGGAAGAAGGTGTCATGCTGATCCCGTGCCGGGTGCTGCTGGGGCTGGAAAAGGGCGTCGAAGTTCCAGAAGGAGCTCTCGATGAAGTTGTCGGTGGGCATCTCGGTGAACCTGCGGTGGCAGTGGGAGGTGAGGCTTGCCCCGGCAGGTGCGGTGGGAGTGGCTGTGCAGGCCCCGCCCCCGTGCTCACCCCATTTCCAGGAAGATCTGGCGGAACTGGGAGCGGACTTTGAGCAGCGGGTGCAGGTGGCCGCTCTCGGGCAGGATGCCACGGGCCGAGAAGTTGTAGGGTTTGAAGGACAGGTCCCGCCAGGAGCCGCTGTGGAGGTGGGGGGCACTGCTGAGTGGGGGGCTACCAGACCCCCAGCCTGGCCCCCCAGACCCCCGGCCCAGGGCTACCCCTCACCTCGAGATCATCTCGGGGCTCAGCTCTGTCTCCTGCTTGGAGACGCTGGTGCTGAAGGCGCTGCCTTTGCTCACCCAGTAGGTCTTCAAGGTTCTGAGGCCAGAGATGGTGGTGGTTGGAGTGGTGGAGGGAAGGGAGGACCCTGCCTGATGCACACCCCCAGAGTGAGACCCACCCCTCCACACCACACGCTCGGCCAATGTCCTCCCTGGAAAGCACTGTCGCCCCAAAGCACCCCGTTGGCTCGCCCAGTCATCCGACAAATGTCCACGGAGGAGTGGGCAGGGGTGCGGCCTGGGGTGTCTGTATCCAGGTCGGGAGCGGCCGGATGGAGGCCGATTGCTTGGCTTCCCACCCGGCTCCCTGCTGGTGCACTGTGCAAGGCAGCAGGAGGTGGGTCACCTGCCGGGGTCCAGGGCACGCACAGGCGAGTCAGGAGCTGCTGCTCCTGGCTTTGGGCTAGCCTGACCCCAACTGTTCAGAGCATTTGCAGAGTGAGCCAGCAAATACAAGATCAGTCTCTCTCTCTCTCCCTTTCAAATATATAAAAGTAAACTTTAAAAAAAAATTATTTTTATTGCAAAGTCAGATTTTTCAGAATGAAGGAGAGCCAGAGACAAAGATCTCCCATCTTCTGATTCACTCCCCAAGTGGTCACAATGGCCAGAGTTGCACCAATCCAAAGCCAGGAACCTCCTCCAGGTCTCCCACGCACGGGTGCAGGGTCCCAAGGCTTTGGGCCATCCTCCACTGCTTTCCCAGGCCACAGGCAGGGAGCTGGATGGGAAGTGGAGCAGCTGGAATATGAACTGTTGCCCATGTAGGATCCTGGCTCACGCAAAACGAGGGTTTTAGCCATTAGGCTACCACATTGGATCCAAAACTAAACATTTTAAAAGACAAACAGGAGGCATTGCTGTGGTGCAGTGGGTCAAACAGCTGCTCGCAATGGCTGGCATCCCATGTTGGTTCGAGTCCCGACTGCTCCACTTCCAATCCTGCTCCTGGGAAAGCAGCGGAGGACGGCCCAAGGGCTTGGGACCCTGCACCCACACGGGATACCTGGAAGAAGCTCCTGGCTTTCGCCTGGCCCACCCTCATGCCTGTGAGAGCACAGCTCCCCTCCCCCTTAGCTGGCTCCAGCCAGGGAAATGTGTGTGTTCTAGTACCCATGCTGCTCAGCTGAGGGGATCTGCCAGCACCTGGAACCTCCCACCCCAGCCCACCTGCTGTGGCACCCAGGGCTAGGTTCCCGTCCCCAGCTCCGGTCCACACTCACAGTTCGGTCAGCAGCTTCCTCTTCCTGAGCTCGCTCCTCTCCTTCTCGCCCAGCTTCTCCACCTGCCCGCTCTGTACCAGCCGCAGCCGCTGCTGCACCTCATCTTCCACCGTGTCCACCTGCCACCGAGGAAAGGCACTGAGCGCTGGGCACCCACCCCGCCCCCCGCCATTGCCGCATGCCTTCGGAAGGGGTGCCCGCACTCACCACTCGGAAGACGCGGGGCCCATCCGCCGCGCTCTTGTCCACGCGGATCCACTTGTTGGACATGGCTTTGCTGAAACCTACTTTGCCACTGGGCAGGCGCTGCAGGGGCGAGGGGTGCAGGGTGTGGGTGGGTAGGGATCCCCAAGTGCCTTTACCCCGCCCCACCTCCCTCGGCCCTGGCAACAGGGGGACGACGCAGTGGGTGGGGAGGGGGGCTACCATGAGCTCGCTCTGGGCCAGCCCCTCGGAGGGGATGCTGCGTAACACGCGGCACTCGTGGCTGCCCTCCCGGGCAATCTCCTCGCCCTCGGCCGTCAATTCCCAGCGCTTGGTGGAGCGAAGCTCAGCCTCAATCACCTGTAGGGGACACGGGCAGGGTTTAGAGACAGGTGCACCCCTTGCCACAGCACAGGTGTGTGTGGGGGAGAACCCAAGGTGTGAAGTGCAGCCCCCCAGAGCCGGCCTTGCGTCCCAGGCTCGGCTAGGTGTCCCCTGGCGGAAGCTCCTGTCCTTCCTGCGGTGTCACAGTTGTAACCTTCCAGGACAGGGCAGAATGACGGCCGCTTCCTGGCACTGGCCTGTGACACCTTCTCCTTTCTTGAATCATTATTTACTTATTTTTCTTTTAGTTATCTGATAAGTTACAGAAAGAGGATTCGAGGACAGCTTTCCCACCTGCTGAGTCACTTCCCAAATGCCCACAAGAGCAGGGGACGGGACAGGTCCAAGCCAGGAGCCATCCGGGTCTCCCATACGGGCGGCAGGGACCCAGGCACATGAGCCATTGCTGCCGCCAGTGAGCAGGAAGCTAGGAATGGGAGCTGGCAGTATATGTACCCGAGCATGCTGGTGGGCGACAGAGATGTCTTCAATGGCCGGCCACCCACTTGCCCAGACACTTGCTGTAAAGCTTGGGGGAAATCAAATCGCATCCAGGGATGGAGCCTGTTTAGCATTTAGCATCTGTGTGACTGCTGGGATGACGTCACCAGGCGGGACGCCCGCACAAACACACCCGTTCCACGCCCTGTCACCGCCCGCCCCATGACTCAAGGCTCTGCAGTGTGAATGCCCCATCTTATTCTGAATCCCAAGTCCCCCAGCCCCTTTTCGGAGACAGCCATCAAGCGAGTTGCCCAAGAGTCGTTTGTCGTGGCCCAAGAGGCCACAGCTTGCTATGCCAGCAGCACCAGTTCAAGTCCCAGCTGCTCCACTTTTAATCCAGCTCCCTGTTAACGCACCAGAGGACGGCCCAAAGGCTGGGGGTCCTGGGCCTGCCAGTGTCCCTCGCTCCTCCTGGCGAGCATTGAGGGACTGGACCAGCACATGGCATATTTCTCCTCCTCTGTCTCGCCACTGACCTAGGCTAAGCCTCGTTTGCTGCATCTGCCGACTGGGCACAATGTCTCCCCGCCACAGCAAGGGCCAGCCAACGGAACATAGAACGTGCCCTTGGTGAACAGCCCGCTTCCCATGAATCTGCCCCCTGACCCCTTGAACCAGAAGTCCCTTCCACTCAAACCCTGCAATGCTGTACCTCCCCACCAAATCCCAGTGCCCCCTGCAGAGCCACATCATGCCCTCTAGCTTGGGACCCTCTCTGCCGCTGTCACCCCCACCCCCCAAGCCTGCCACAGCTCCCCCGTCCCCTCTGTGAGCTAGGGACCGGCCAGTGATGGTCTGTCACCGGCTCTCCCTGACTCCTGCCTCCACACTCTGGTCCCTTTGAGCATCACAGGCCTTGTGAGGTCAACGATGACTTCCTCCTGGGCTGCGACCGTCCCAAACCCCCACCACCACCACCTCCTCCCCTCGATGCCATTAGCAAACAAGAATCCGAGCATCTGGCCCGTCACTCGCTCCAGGCTCTCCGCGGGTGCACAGCGAAGCTAGGCAGGGCCGATCTGGGGTGACACAGCAGATGCCAAGGGCCAAGAGGCGACCCTCCGCCCTCACGCGCCCATCTCACCTGGCCCAAGGCCTGCAGGCTCTTCACGGCGCCCACGACAGTCTGGTGCTCCACGCCCAGCTGAGTGGCCAGATCCGCGCTGTCCAGGCCGCCATCGGCCGTCTCCAGCCGCCTCAGCAGCAGCTCGGCCACGGGACCGTCCGTCATGGCTGCACCCACTCCGCAGCTCGGCGTGCGCGAGTCTCGGCAGCAGCTAGGCGTGTGCCAATCTCCGAAACAGCTCGGCGTGTGAGAGTCGCCGGAAGCAGCCGCCTGGAGGAGCCGGAACCGGAAAGGCGTCACCTTGAGGGTGTCAGACACAAGACGTCGGGCGCGAAACAGCGCCATCTTGAGTGTGGCGGCCTTCCCCCCACTCCCCCACGCTCCACCTCCACCTTTGACATCAGGTTAAGCAGAGAGGTAAAATGGAGAGTGTAGGACATTGTGACCCTAGAAGGTCAGCGAGCACAGGATTACAGTTGATTAGACAATATTTGTGTGATAAACAACTGAATGAGTGCCTTTTGTTGGACTGATTGGATATCCTTTGCACGCGAACAAACAACCCTGATGGGATAAGAACAGTTGAATGGAAATCATGTGTGTGAGAACACTTGATGGAATATACAAGACAAAAGGAGTTCCAAACAAAAGCATAAAAACTGTTGATGGGCTTTGTTGATGAGCTCAATACCTCCTCCCTTATCCCGTCTGACCTCAGCGTATAAAGTCTGATGCCACTAATCAACTTCGGCTTTGACCATCAGTCAGGGTCCACGCGTGTTATTATCGGCTCCGTGCAGCAAGTCCATCGCTGCGGGACAGCGACAAGTGGCGCCCGTGCGACAGAGACCCCCACAGAAAGAGGTGAGTGGGAACAATGGGCCAGAATCACCTCGTATGCATTGCCTTTTAAAGAAACGCGGAATAAACATAACTAGGCAGCAATTGCGTTCTTGTTTAGAAGTTATTTTTAAATAGAACCCTTGGTTTCTGGATGAAGAGACACTAGAAACCGAAGTCTTGGATCGTGCACGGAAACATGTAGAAGAGGCCCGAATGACAGAAGATATTCCTGCTGATTGTTGGAGTACATTGCTCTTTCATTAAAGGAGTTATTGCAATTACAGAAGGGGAAGATGGGAGAACCCCCAACAGGCTGCCACGCATTCCTTTGATGACTGTGAGTTAGAAGAGGAAATAAAGGAAAAGCCTAAAAAGAAAAACAAGGGGCCCAGCAGCTAAAGTCCTCGCCTTGAATGTCCCAGGATCCCATATGGGCACCGGTTCTAATCCCGGCAGCCCCACTTCCCATCCAGCTCCCTGCCTGTGGCTTGGGAAAGCAGTGGAGGACGGCCCAAAGCCTTGGGACCCTGCACTTGCGTAGGAGACCTGGAGGAAGTTCCTGGCTCCTGGCTCCTGGCTCCTGGCTCCGGATCAGCATAGTACCGACCCGTTGCGCTCACTTTGGGAGTGAATCATCAGATGGAAGATCTTCCTCTCTATCTCTCCTCCTCTCTGTATATCTGACTTTGTAATAAAAATAAATCTTTTTAAAATAAGAAAGTATTTCCTAATACCGTCCCCTCCTACAGGAGAGCCCCGTGTTAGCAGCACAGACTTGCCTTTAGCTTCTTGCAGCCCTACCTGCGGGCTGGGCGACCCTGTACTGCACCCTCGCGCATGTCCTGGGACTGGAGGGTGGTTGCGCAGTGGGCTACAGATTGCCATTCGACTGTCAGCTATTGTATTTATTTAGTTTAATTTTCAAAGGGAGTCTGGGTAGAGACTGTACTCATTTGTAGAGAGGAGAAGGACCCATCTAGGAACCTCAGCTCGGAGTACCAGCTTATCCGCTTGGCCCAGAGCTTCCTACTTCAAATCTGTCACTTCATTTCTCCCCCCAGACTTGACCCTGTAGGACCATACTTCAAAACATTTGTGTCAACTTGGGGCACACGACAGTGAAGCCTTCACTTGGCACACACACCCCAAAACCCCCTGGCAGATGGTCTGGGATCCCGTTGACACCTTAGCTTCAGATGCAGCGTCATGCCTGGGAGGCAGTGGGGATGACTCGAGCACTGGGGGCCCCTGCTGCCCACGTGGGACACCCGGAAGCAGTGTCTGCCTGCGCTTTGCGCCTGGCACAACCAGGTGGCTTTTGGAGAATGGACCTTATTTATTTTTATTGTAAAAGTATGTCTACAGAATGAAGGAGAGACAGAAAACTCTTTATTTAAAAAAATTATTTTTATTGCAAAGTCAGATATACAAAGAGGAAGATCTTCCGTCCGATGATTCACTCCCCAAGTGACCACAAGGGCCGGTGCTGCACCAATCCGAAGCCTGGAGCCAGTAACTTCCTTCAAGGTGCAGGGTCCCAAGGCTTTGGGCCGTCCTCCACTGCTTTCCCAGGCCACAGGCAGGGAGCTGGATGGGAAGTGGAGTAGCTGGGACTGGAACTAGCCATTGCCATTGCTTTGTGATGGAGGATTAAACAATTGAGCCATTGTAATAGGTCCAGCTTATATTTAAAATATTTACAAGAATATGTATTGGGCCTGGTACAATGGCTTAACTGTCAAATCCCCTCTCTTTAAGCACCAGCCTTTCCAATAAAAACAAATACATCTTTAATATGAGATGTTGGGCCAGCAGCGTGGCTTAGCGGCTGAAGTCCTCACCTTGAATGTCCCAGGATCCCATATGGGCACCAGTTCTAATCCTGGCAGCTCCACTTTCCATCCAGCTCCCTGCTTGTGGCCTGGGAAAGCAGTGGAGGACGGCCCAAAGCCGTGGGAGACCTGGAGGAGTTTCCGGGCTCCAGGCTTCGGATCCGCATAGCACCAGTCGTTGTGGTCACTTGGGGAGTGAATCATCGGATGGAAGCTCTCTGTCTCTCCTCCTCTCTGTATATCTGACTTTCCAATAAAAAGTGGTCACAACGGCTGAAGCTGAGCTAATCTGAGGCCAGGAGCCTCCTCCAGGTCTCCCACGCAGGTGCAGGGTCCCAAGGCTTTGGGCCGTCCTCCACTGCTTTCCCAGGCCACAGGCAGGGAGCTGGATGGGAAGTCGGGCAGCTGGGCCGCGAACAGGCCCCCTTACAGGATGCTGGCACTCGGAGTTAGAGAATTAGTTTTTGAGGCACTACACGGGGCACCTGCAAAGCCAGAGTCCCTTAAAGGCGCGGGTTTGAGTCCCGGCCACTCCACTTCCCACCCTGTTGCCTGCTAATGACTCTGGGAAAGCAGTGGAGGCCGGCCCAAAGCCTTGGCACCCTGCACCCACGTGGGAGACCTGGAAGCAGCTCCTGGCTCCCAATCAGCCCATCTTGTTGTTCTGGGCAGTGAACCAGTGGATGGAAGATCTCTTTGTTTCAGTAACTCTGCCTTTCAAATAAGTATATCTTTAAAAAAAAAAAAAATCCTCTCTTCGGCGCCAAAGCACTTCCCCCTAGTAAATGTCTTATTCCACTGGGGCCCTTCCTTCCCTCACCAGCCTCGCTCAGGGCAGAGCACACAGTGAATGAAGCAGATGGACAGTCCCTACCCACAAGACAGGAAGCATCTAGCCCAAGCGTGTGTGGGGGAGTAGGGAGGGCAGAGGCCAATGGCAGGACTGGCTGGTGGGGAGGGACAGGTGCAGAGTCCCTTGGGGGAAAGAAGAGCGACTTCCCCAGCTGCCCCCAAAAACTGTCATTCTTCCTCTATTCGAGTGTCCTCTGCCAGCAGGAAAGCCCCGCCCAACACACACACACACACACACACACACACTTCCTTGACATTATTCCTTGTTTCCCGGTTCTTTCCCAGATCCAAGGCCCATTTGCTCAGAGTTTAGAAAACTTCTTCTCATCAGGATGGAAAGTGAGAGAGAGAGAGAGAGAGAGACACGATGGGACCTGCGGTCAGCCACCTGCCTCTAGCTGGCCATTTGTGGGAGATCGGGGGGCAGGGCAGCGCCCCCTTGGCACCCAGCAGCTGGGGGGGGGGGCAGACGCTGTAACGACGCGGGAACAAGGCGTCCAGCCCCCCCAGCCCCGGGAGCAGAGGCAGAGCTGCCTCCTCTTTGACCCTTCGGCCCCCTAAGAGGGGGAAAAAAAAAAAAAAGAAATTAAAAAGGCTTTTCTGTCAGGTAGATGCAGCCAGGGCGGCCCCTCAGCAGGGCACAGAGCAGTAAGGTGACAGGTGCCGGGGCAGGAGGAAGCCGGGACTCTACCGGCCCTGGAGCACTAGGGGGATGCAGCCCCTGCTAAAAGGGACGCCCCCCACCCCAAATGCCTGCCTCCTACCCTAACGTGGGCGGAGAGACTCGGCGTCAGGATGGAGGTGCCCCCTCCAGCGGGGTAGACTGGACGAAGGGGGACGAGGAGAAGCTGGGCTGGGTTAGCGGGGTCCCCTCTCGGGGCGCTCGCCGCGACCCCCTGCACCCGGGAAGAGAGAAGGTCTCCCCGCGGCTTCTCGAACGTTGCTTTCCGCCGCGGACGGCGCGCGGCCGAGGGCGGGGCCGCTCCCCCCAGCTCTGCTCACGTGACCCGCGCCCGAGGCGCTCGCGGCCCCCCGCCCGCGCGAGGAGGCGTCCCCCCCGCAACGCGTGGTCGACCCTCATTGGTCGGCGGCGCGGCCAATAGAAATCGGCCATCTGGGAACCCAGCGTTCCGAGGCACAACCGGACGTGCTGGCCCGGCGTTCGTCCAATGGACGGGCAGAGCGGCGGCGATCGCCCAATGGGAACGCGGAAAGGGAGGGCCCAGAGGCCGGGTCAGGTTGGTGTGAGAGGCGGGCGGGTATAAAAGGCCGCAGCCGGCAGCGGCGTCCGTCCGTACCGCAGAGCCGCTGCTGGACGGTCGTTCTTAAAGGGCCCGCGAGCCGCCGCCGCCGCCCCCTCGGCTCGCCATGCTGCTCCCCTTGCCGCTGCTGCTCGGCCTCCTCGGCCTGGCCGTCTCTGAGCCCGCCATCTACTTCAAGGAACAGTTTCTGGACGGAGGTAACGCCCGGCTGTGCCTCGAGCGCCCGTTTGCACGAACGCGACCGGTGGCCCTTCCCCTTCCCTGCCGCCCCCAAAGCCCGGATCGGCGTCGTCGTGTGGCCTCGTAATTACCTTCCCTCGAGGGCCAACACGGCGGCCTCCCTCCCCTGGGGACCCAGAGCCGCGGGGCCATCCGTCGTTTACCTTCCCCGGGGAGCGTGGAGGGCACGGCAGCCTCTCCCTGGGGTGTGTGTGTGTGTAAGGTGTTGGGGGCGGGGGAGCGCAGGCTGGAAGTTGTGGGGGGAATTGTTGCTCAAGACATCCCGGAATGTCACCCAGGCTCCGTCCTGGGAAGGACGGGTGGGAACATCGCCCCTCTGCCGTCCCCCACCCCCACCCCCACCCCGTCCACCTCGTGGGGTCTTGGCAGGTGTCTGGGAAGGGTGATGGGAGGTGGTGGGTGTGTGTCTGGGGAGGGGGTGGCGGGTGGGATCCGGCAGAGTCTCCCTAACCTGACGCTGGACACCGACCTCCCCCTTCCCCCCACCACCCCGCTCCTCACTTAGATGGGTGGACCAACCGCTGGGTCGAATCCAAACACAAGTCTGATTTTGGCAAATTCGTGCTGAGTTCCGGCAAGTTCTACGGCGATCAGGAGAAAGATAAAGGTTCGCCAAAAGAGGGAGGGTGTGCGGCACCCCCCCCCCCCGGGGTGCAGGTTTGGACCCGGATCTGGGAAGCAGGGTGGGCTTCCTCCCTACCCCCGCCCCTGGGAGTTAGAAGGCAGGTGCAGGATGTCCCGGGGGAGCCCTCTGGACCCAGGTTCTCTGTGCCGGCCGCCCAGGGCTGCAGACGAGCCAGGACGCCCGCTTCTACGCACTCTCGGCACGGTTCGAGCCTTTCAGCAACAAGGGCCAGCCGCTGGTGGTGCAGTTCACCGTCAAGCACGAGCAGACCATTGACTGTGGGGGCGGCTACGTGAAGCTGTTTCCGGCCAGCCTGGACCAGAAGGACATGCACGGCGACTCGGAGTACAACATCATGTTCGGTGAGGGACCCCGCCCCCTGAAACTCTCCCCATGCCTCCGTCGTGTGTGTGTGTGTGTGTGGGGGGGGGCAGTCACCGTGGGTGGAAACGGGGATCCCGGTGTCTGCCACACGTGGCCACGTGCGGGTACTTCCACATCTGCCGTCGAGAGTCCTTGGGCTTTGGTGTTTTGAGGGGGAGGGGTTATGGGAAAGAAGGGTGGGGACCTTGGCAGCCGTGGGCAGCGGTCACTGAGGTGGCTTCCCCACCCCCACCAGGGCCTGACATCTGTGGGCCTGGCACCAAGAAGGTTCATGTCATCTTCAACTACAAGGGCAAGAACGTGCTGATCAACAAGGACATCCGGTGTAAGGTGCGTGTCCTCCCTTCCCCAGCACCATACTGCCCGGGGACAGCGGGGCGTGCTACACACACACACACACACAGTCACACGCTGCCTGGGGACAGCAGACCGTGCTGCACACACAGAGTCACACACACTGCCTGGGGACAGCGGGGCGTGCTGCACACACACACACAGTCACATGCTGCCTGGGGACAGCAGGCCGTGCTGCACACACAGAGTCACACACACTGCCTGGGGACAGCGGGGCGTGCTACACACACACACACACACACAGTCACATGCTGCCTGGGGACAGCAGGCCGTGCTGCACACACAGAGTCACACACACTGCCCGGGGACAGCGGGGCGTGCTACACACACACACACACACAGAGTCACACGCTGCCTGGGGACAGCAGGCCGTGCTGCACACATACACGCTTACTTCCTGGGGACAGCAGGGCGTGCTGCACACACACACACACACACACACACAGTCACATACTGCCCGGGGACAGCAGGGCGTGCTGCACACACACACACGCACACACACGCACACTGCCCGGGGACAGCAGGGCGTGCTGCACACACACACACACACGCACACACACGCACACTGCCCGGGGACAGCAGGGCGTGCTGCACACACACACACACACACACGCACACTCACGCATGCATGCACACTGCCCGGGGACAGCAGGGCGTGCCGGGTGAAGGCTCACCTCATGCTGTCCCCCCCAGGATGATGAGTTCACACACCTGTACACGCTCATCGTGCGGCCCGACAACACGTATGAGGTGAAGATCGACAACAGCCAGGTGGAGTCGGGCTCCCTGGAGGACGACTGGGACTTCCTGCCCCCCAAGAAGATCAAGGACCCCGACGCCGCCAAGCCGGACGACTGGGACGAGCGGGCCAAGATCGACGACCCCACAGACTCCAAGCCCGAGGTGGGCGCTGGGACTGCGCCTTTGCCCGGTCGCACACCCGGGGGAGGCCAGCGGGGCGCACGCTGACCTCATGCGTGGACCTCTCTCCCAGGATTGGGACAAGCCCGAGCACATCCCGGACCCCGACGCCAAAAAGCCCGAGGACTGGGACGAAGAGATGGATGGCGAGTGGGAGCCGCCGGTCATCCAGAACCCCGAGTACAAGGTACGCGATGGGCGCGGCCGGAGGTCGCCCCCACAGGGAAGGGGCCTGCCTCGGCCGCTCACCCTGTGCACCCGCCTTCCGACAGGGTGAGTGGAAGCCACGGCAGATTGACAACCCCGATTACAAGGGCACGTGGATCCACCCAGAGATCGACAACCCCGAGTACTCGCCGGACCCCAACATCTACGCCTACGACAGCTTTGCTGTGCTGGGCCTGGATCTGTGGCAGGTGAGAGGCGGCGAGCAGCAGGAGCGGAGGGGAAGAGCCGGACAGAGCCGATGCTCTCCCTGAAGCCGGCCCCTCACAGTCACAGCTTGTTGCTGGCTGGGCGGGCTTGCAGCACCTGCTGCCTGAGCCAGCTCGGTGATCTTGGAAGGTCATTGCCATTGGCTAAAGCTGGTGTCGGGGTGGAGGGGGTCAGTCTTCTGGGGCGGCAGGTTGAGTTGCCACCACAGACAGCTGTGGCACAGTGCCCGGGCGCGGCTGCTCCAGTTCCGATCCAGCCTCTTGCCGAGGTGCCAGGGGGGGCAGCAGGTACTGACCCGTGTCTTTGGGCCTCTGCCTCGTGGGAGTCCCGGATGGGCTCCTGGCCTGGAGGTGAGGCAGTGGGTGACAAGGTCCCTGGCCCTCCCCTCTTCCCTATAGTGCCTTTCTCAGTCAGCGAGTGGGTCTTTGAGGACAGAGACCTGGCCGGGACTGAAGGTGTCCCTGCCGCAGCTGCACAGTTGGTACCCGAGTCGCAAGGCCAGCTGTCAGGGGAAAGGGCCACAGAGAGCTCGCCATGACCGAGGGCCCACGCAGGCCACCTGCGGGGCAGCACTGTGGATGGCAGACGCCCGGCTCACTGTCCCGTCTGGCCGGACTTGTCCCTCTGAACCCTCATTCACTCGTTCGTCCCGTTGCTCAGGTCAAGTCGGGCACGATCTTTGACAACTTCCTCATTACCAACGATGAGGCTTATGCTGAGGAGTTTGGCAACGAGACGTGGGGTGTCACAAAGGTAGGGGCTGGGGGGATGGACCGGCTGGTGGGGATTGCAGGGTGCTGAGGGCCGGGCGTTCCTGCAGGCGCTGGGATGCGGGGTGCTGAGGGCCGGGCGTTCCTGCAGGCAGCGGGGCACGGGGTGCTGGGGGCCGGGCGTTCCTGCAGGCAGCGGGGCACGGGGTGCTGGGGGCCGGGCGTTCCTGCAGGCGCGGGGATGCGGGGTGCTGGGGGCCGGGCGTTCCTGCAGGCAGCGGGGCACGGGGTGCTGGGGGCCGGGCGTTCCTGCAGGCAGCGGGGCACAGGGTGCTGGGGGCCGGGCGTTCCTGCAGGCAGCGGGGCACGGGGTGCTGGGGGCCGGGCGTTCCTGCAGGCAGCGGGGCACGGGGTGCTGGGGGCCGGCTGTGCCAGCAGGTGGGAGGTGGGATGCAGGGTGCTGAGGGCCGGGCGTTCCCTCAGACGGCCGAGAAGCAGATGAAGGACAAGCAGGACGAGGAGCAGAGGCTGAAGGAGGAGGAGGAGGACAAGAAGCGCAAGGAGGAGGAGGAGGCGGCGGAGGACGACGACGAGAAGGACAAGGAGGAGGAGGACGAGGACGAGGAGGACAAGGAGGAGGACGAGGAGGACGACGCTGCCCAGCCCAAGGACGAGCTGTAGAGGCCGCCGCCCGCCCGCTCCCCGCTGCGGGGCTGGACTGCGGCCCGCGCTCCCGCCGCACCGCCGGCCGCGCCCACTAATGTCTCTATGAGACTCCGTGAGAACTTTGTTTTTCCCTTCCAGGCAGGTTCAGATTTGGGGTGGATTTTGGTTTTGTTGCCCCTCACAGCTCCCACATTTTTTTTACTGGTGTTTGATTCTCCCCTTTTTCATCCAACATCACCTTTGCCCCTCTCCTCCCCGTCCTTCGAACCCCCTTCCCGCTTGGGCTAGGGTGGGGGACAAGGAGTGGGGAGGAAGGCCCCCCGCCATCGCCATCCCCACTAGGCAGGCAGGAAAAAAGGGGTGGTACTTGCCAACCCCCCAGCACTGAGGAGGATCAGGGCTCTAACCCTTGCCACCCCTCCCCTGCTCCCCACCTTCACCCCCCGGGGCTGGGCTGCCGCTTTTGGGTGGGGGGCAATGGGTTCCAGCTTGGCTCACACTTGAGAATGTAAGAACTACAAACGAAAATTTCTATTAAATTAAGTTTTGTGTCTTCCTCCTGGGTCTCCCTCTGAGAGGCAGGACGCATAACACCCAAAAGGGGGGACACCTGAGAATGCTCCCCCACCTGCAGCTGCTGGGGTTGGTGGGGTTCAAGACTGCAGGACGGAGGCCTTTACTTACCTCCCTCCAAACCAGCAGCCCCCCAGCTCATGCCCCCCATGTAATCCACATGGTGCCCCGCGCACCACAGCTAGCCAGTGTCGGCTCATTCCCCCCCATGTAATCCTTGCACACCACAACTAGCCAGTGTCGGTTGTAACCCGTCTGCCTTGGTCTAATGAGAAAAGCCAGGTCCAGAAGTTGGTGAGCGAGGGCGGGGCCGTGATGGACGCACCGACCTGGTCACTTCCTCCCAGCTCTTGTGAGGCCCCGTGGGCCATGGGATTGTGCTCCAGTCCCTAGTGACACGAGCCAAGCAATGGGCAGGGTTTGTGTCTGGATGGCCTTGGGTGAGAGGCGGGCCGAAGCGACGGCACACACGTGGTGGTTGCAGCATGGGTCAGGGGCTTGGGCAAAAATGCTCAGAAGGGGTAGGAAGCCGTCAGTGGCCAGGGAGCTTGTAGAATCAAGGTTTGCAGTGCACTGCAACGTGGCCATGGTGTGGTGCCCAGGGGCTCCGCAGTGTCCAGTGGGTCAGGGTGGTGGGAGTGGTGGGAGTGCCTTCCAGCCCCACCCCGACATCCCGGTTCTAACTTCACCTACAGCCAGTGGCCCAGGGCTCTGTTCTTCAAATTTGGGTGGGTGACCCTGTCCCTTGGACTGGCTTTTCATCTTCCAGTCCCTCCTAGGCCTTTTAGGGTTGGTGTATTTCAGGGGAAAGTGAAGAAAAAGCCATAGTGAATATATGGACAGCGAGAAGTAGGGGTCGGCTGGAGGCAGTGAGGTGAGCAAGGGATAGGAGGAGTCGGTGCAAATCTTGCCTGAGTGAGGTCACCACGTGGCCCAGGGATAGCGCAGGGTTGTTTTCATCGGAAAAGCAGATTTGCAGAGGAGAGAGCTAGCTCTTCCATCTGTTGGTTCACTCGGGTGGCCATACTAGAAGCTGACCTGAAGCCAGGAGCTGCTTCTGGGTCCCCCACGGGGTGCAGGGGGCCAAGGCTTTGGGTTTGCCTGCTGCCTTCCCAGGCCACAAGCTTCCTGGAAGTGGAGCAGCCAGGACGTGAACCGGCATCCTTGTGCGTGCAGATAGAAGATGGGCCATAGCATCCTCCCGGATGGTCCAAATATTTCAAATTTTGCTCTTTGGGGCCTAGAAGGCAGCCAGGTGATAGTCCAGCACTTGGGTCCCGGTCTTGGTGGGAGACCTGCATGGTGTTTGGGGTTTTCAAGTAGGTAGAAGGAAAAAACACTTTAATAGAGATTTTTCTGGAAGGAATAAAAATGAAAACATCACAACTTGTTTGGGCTAAAATATAGGGACGCTGGAGCCGCCTGGCTGCCGCATGACGTCATCGGCACGGCGTGACGTCACCTGACACGTGACCAGGTGTCCGCAAAATTAGCCTCTTCCCCGGCAAAGTGGGAATTTCTTCTGCGCATGCGCGGGGGCGAGCGCGCGCTGGTGCGCATGCCCGCGGAAGCCAAAGGTCACGCTGGGGGCACGTGGGCCGGTGGTCCGCGCACGCACCGCCTGCCCCGGAAGCGGTCGGCTCGCGCGGCGCGGCTGGGCTATAAGATGGCGGCGGCGTGAGTTGCATGTTGTCCGAGAATCCGGGGCCGCCGCCTCGTCGCTCAGGCCCCGCCATGGCCGTCACCATCACGCTGAAAACACTGCAGCAGCAGACCTTCAAGATCCGCATGGAGCCCGAGGAGACGGTGCGGGCCGGGCCCGAGCCCTGGCGTGACGGGTGGCGTGGGGGGCGGGGAGCCCGGGGTTCTAACCGGAGAGCCGGGGAAGGACGGCGCGGGGCCGGGCCCGCCAGGGCTGTGCAGGACTGCCCAGGGTCCAGGCTGGAGCGGCTGTCCAGAGCTCAGGATCGGGGCTGTCCAGGGCTCAGGATCGGGGGGCTGTCCAGGGTTCAGGATCGGGGGGCTGTCCAGGGCTCAAGATCGGGGGGCTGTCCAGGGCTCAAGATCGGGGGGCTGTCCAGGGCTCAGGATGGGGACGCTGTCCCGGGGCTGTCCAGGGCTCAGGATGGGGACGCTGTCCCGGGGCTGTCCAGGCGCCAGACTGGAATGGCTGTCCAGGGCTCAGGATTGGGGAGCTGTCCAGGGGTCAGAATCGGTGGCTGTCCAGGGGTCAGGCTGGGGCGGCTGTCCGGGGGCTGTCCGGGGCTCAGGATGGGGGAGCTATCCAGGACTCAGGATGGGGACTGTTCAGGGCTCAGGGTGGGATGCTTTCCTGGGGCTGTCAGGGTCCAGGCTGGGCGGCTGTCCTGGGCTGTCCAGGGCTCAGGATGGGGGTGCTGTCCTGGGGCTGTCCGGGGGCCCAGGCGGGGCGGCTGTCCTGGGGCTGTCCAGGGCTCAGGATGGGGCGGCTGTCCCGGGGCCCAGGCTGGGCGGCTGTCCTGGGGCTGTCCCGGGGCTCAGGCTGGGTGGCTGTCCAGGGCCCAGGCTGGGGCAGCTGTCCAGGGGCCAGGTCCCATGGCCATGGCGCCTGCCAGGGGAGCTGCCAGTGCTTGGGCACCCAGCCCGGTATGCATTGCCCAGCTCCAGCCTGGCCTGGCCCGGTGTCGGCGGAAGGGCCGGCGACACTGAGCAGGTCAGTTCTTGAGTGACAGCGCTCTGTGTGTGATGGCGCTGTGTGTGAGGACCTTGGTGGTTGTGAGCTCGGGGCAGCCTCCAGGTGGGAGTCCACACTGCAGAGAGGGGCCGGGAGCGGCTGGAGGACAGGGGACTGGATTCAGGGGTGGAATGCAGGTGGCACACAGCCATGGCGCTGTCAGCAGGGACCCTGCATCTCACCATGAAACCCCGACCCTCCTGTCCCAGCTCTCACCTGTCTTGTGCAGAGAACCAGCAGATGGGAGATTTCTCTCTCTGCATGGCTCTGTCACTGTGCCTTATTAAATGTGCTGAATCTTCCTGAAAGCTTGTCATTGTTCTGATTGAGCGCTGTGGAATGTGGGAGCCTTCATTGTGCTTTTTACCTCATCATCCTTTTTTTTTTTTTTAAGATTTATTTTTTATTTTCCTTGGAAAGTCACATATACAGAGAGCAGGAGAGACAGAGAGGAAGATCTGCTGTCTGCTGATTCACTCCCCAAGTGGCAGCGACAGCCAAAGCTGAGTTGATCTGAAGCCAGGAGCCAGGAGCTTCTTCTGGGTCTCCCACATGGGTGCAGGGTCCCAAGGCTTTGGGTCGTCCTCCACTGCTTTCCCAGGCCACAGGCAGGGAGCTGGATGGGAAGCGGGGCCGCCGGGATTAGAAATGGTGCCATGTATGGTCCCAGCGTGTGCAAGGCGAGGACTTTAGCCACTAGGCTTCTGTGAAAGGCTTCTTCCTTCTCTTTTACACTGTCTGAAATAACTGTTCAGCAGTTTCCTGGAGAATGGCCACCCCCATGAGAGCTTTTGGCAACGGCAGCAGGACTGTGCCCTGCCCTGCCCTCTTTGTGCCCTCAGCCAATTTGTTTTTCCCCTTGCTCACCTCCGTGCCCCGTTGGTGAGAGCAGGTTCCCTCCACTTCACACATCCCCAGCACCCGATTCGGCGCGCAGAGCAGGGGTCGGCTTGCCAGATGACGGGCTGGGGGCTCGGGGGCAGCAGAGCAGGGTCCGTGGTGTCTGACAACTGAGCCCGGCCACGGCGCCTTCCAGGTCAAGATGCTGAAGGAGAAGATCGAAGCCGAGAAGGGCCGCGAGGCGTTCCCCGTGGCCGGCCAGAAGCTCATCTACGCCGGCAAGATCCTGAGCGACGACGTCCCCATCCGGGACTACTGCATCGACGAGAAGAACTTCGTGGTCGTCATGGTGACCAAGGTGGGTGGGTGAGCTCCAGGGAGCCGGCCAGGGAGAGAGATTAGTGCCGGGGGCACGCGGCCAGCGGGGCAGGGCCGAGGGCTTGGGTGGGGGTGCGTGGGTGTGATAACGAGCCCACGCCCATGCCCGGTGTTTTCTTCTGCTGCCACAGGCCAAGGCTGGCCAGGGCTCCTCGGCACCCCCAGAGGCCACCCCGACTGGCGCCCCGGAGTCCTCGTCCGCTGCCTGCCCACCGGCCCCCGCCTCCGGCATGTCCCAGCCCCCAGCAGCCGGCAGGGAAGACAAGAGCCCATCCGAGGAGTCGGCCCCCACCACGTCGCCCGAGTCCGTGTCCGGGTAAGGCGGGGGATGTGGGGCGGTGCCCTCCTGCCATGGTCCTAGCTGCGCACCTCGAGGAAGGCTGAGGGTGGGCGGGGGCGCGGCTGCTGGCCGCCGGAAGCTCGGGTCCGATTTCTCTCTCTTGAATTTGCAGCTCTGTTCCCTCTTCAGGTAGCAGCGGGCGAGAGGAAGATGCGGCCTCCACGCTAGGTGGGTGGGTGGTCCCCCCGGGCAGAGGTCATGACCCGGCGCTGCAGCCTGGGCCTCGGCCCCCGGTGTCGGCGGGAGGGTCCACCACGGCTGCCCGGTGACCCGGCCCCGGCACGCTCCCTCCGCAGTGACTGGCTCCGAGTATGAGACCATGCTCACCGAGATCATGTCCATGGGCTACGAGCGGGAGCGGGTCGTGGCCGCCCTGCGCGCCAGCTACAACAACCCTCACCGAGCTGTGGAGTACCTGCTCACGGTGAGGTGGGGCCTCTCCACCTCCTCTCGGGGGACCCCGGGTGGCAGCGGCGGCATCCAGGGGTCTCCCCGTGGGAAGGAGGGAGGCTCGTGGTCTGCGCGTGAGAACTGAACTGGAGCCCTGACAGGGGATCCCCGGGAGCCCCGAGCCGGAGCATGGGGCCGTGCAGGAGAGCCAGGTGTCAGAGCAGCCGGCCACCGAGGCAGGTGAGCAGGCGGGGCAGGGCGGTGTGTGCACACACCCTACACACACACGCACACACACACACAGAAGCAGGGGCAGGGGGGAGGTGTGTACAGGTGAGCGTGCATTCCACATGCACAGGCAGGTGAGCGGGCGGAGCAGTGTGCAAGGGAGGTGTATGCAGGTACACACACAGACACGTGCAGAGTGCGCTCCTGGGCACCTGGCCTGACCTCTGACCTCACTCCACTCCAGCAGGAGAGAACCCCCTGGAGTTCCTGCGGGACCAGCCCCAGTTCCAGAACATGCGGCAAGTGGTCCAGCAGAACCCGGCTCTGCTGCCCGCGCTGCTCCAGCAGCTGGGCCAGGAGAACCCGCAGCTGCTGCAGGTGCGGGGTTGGGAGGGCGGTGAGAGCCCCCGCTCGGCAGGCCCCCGGCTTTAGTCCTGGGCTCCACACACAGCTGGCACCCTCGCGCTGGTTCTGGTTGCATGGCGCCTCCCAGGGCAGCCGTGGCCTGGCCCCCCACTGACTCTGGGACCATGCGTCCTGCTGGCTCTCTCAGATCCTGGCCTGGGAGGGCAGTGTCATGTGTCTGCTCCTTACCCCCCTCCTGTCACACTCCCCCTGCCCCTGGCCACCTTGCTGGCTGCACCTGTTCCCATGGGTCTTCCCCTGCATACATTCAGTGCCCCTCTTGTATCTGTGAGGTTACCCCCAAACCTGTCCACGCAGCCCGCACGTGCTCCCCCCTAGACTTCAGCCCACACTCATCCTCCCTCCCTGTTTGTAAGGAGCAGCTGGTCCCAGGGTCATGGCCGGCCGGCCTCTCCTCCCCACCTGGTCCCAGTGGTCCGTGGGCTGCCAGGGCCTGCATTGCAGCGCAGGAGGACCTGGTTCCTCTATGTGGAAATGGCCATGCGTGCACAAGGCTGGCACACCTCCAGCTGGCTGCCCGAGGTTCAGGTCCTGCCACTCTGTTCACTTGCCTGGGCTTCCCTGGCCTTTCCTTTTGGGTTCCCACCCCACATGGGTGCAGGTCCCTCCTGGGCCTGGGGTCCTGGCCTCAGCAGGCACCTGGTAAGAGCAGCTACCGGGGACTCGGGGCCCCAGGGCTACAGGTCAGCGGCCATCCCTTCCACAGCAAATCAGCCGGCACCAGGAGCAGTTCATCCAGATGCTCAACGAGCCGCCGGGGGAGCTGGCGGACATCTCGGACACGGAGGGGGAGGTGGGCGCCATAGGGGAGGAGGCCCCGCAGATGAACTACATCCAGGTGACGCCGCAGGAGAAGGAAGCTATAGAGAGAGTAAGAGGCCTGGCTGGGCGGGGGTGGGCTGCTGGCTGGGACAGCCCCCCAAGCCCGGTGCGCTCACACCACCCCGCCTCCCCTTGCAGTTGAAGGCCCTGGGCTTCCCCGAGAGCCTGGTGATCCAGGCCTACTTCGCGTGTGAGAAGAATGAGAACTTGGCTGCCAACTTCCTTCTGAGTCAGAACTTCGATGATGAGTGATGGAGGCCGGGCCGCCACCGTGCCCCTGCCCGCCCGCCCCCTGCCCACCCGCCTCCTCCCGCCCCTCCCTCCTCCACAGAATGTTTTATAAAAGAAGAAAATATATATTCATGTTTATTTAAGAAGTGGGGAAAAAAGAATCAAAAACCTTAAAAAAAAAAAAAAAACACACCAACTCCCAGCTCCCGTGTTGGTCTGCAAGGACCAGGCCAGACAGCTGTCCCTGCGCCTCCTCTCGGCCCTGCCCGGGAGTCGCTGGCAGGGCTGGGAGGCGACAGATGGGCCCCTCTTGGCCTCTGTCCCAACTCTCCGCAGCCAGATGGAGAGGTGGCTGCTCGCTGGCCCCTCCCCCAGTCCTCTCATCACCCGATTGAGGGGAGGCTGGCCCCCCAAACTTTTATCCTCTATGAGAGTGGCCCAAATTCTTCCATCTGGGCTGAGCCCCTAGGCCACCCCCCCCCCATCCCAGGAAAGAAAGTCGGCAAGGTTTTGAAGTGAATAAAAGTTTTGGACAAAAAAAGAAAAAAAACTCGGCCCCATGGTCCACTCCAGCGTGCCGGGGTCTGGGGGCTGCCTTCCCATCTCACCTCAACACCCCAAAGCTGCGTCTGTCCCAGTCAGGCCTTGAATTGCAGCCTTGGAAGGGGTGGCTGTGCCCTGCTTCCACCCCCCAGCCGCCCCCCACAATCCCCAGACCGGCTCTGGCTCGGTTCCCCCCCTGGTAATTGGCTAATTACTGGAGATGAATGTTGGTAAACAGAAGCCCCCTTTTCCTCGGCCATCTGCTCCCTCCACAGCAGCCCCCCTCTTTCCTGCCCCCACCACTCAGAGAAGGCCCAGGGCCCACTGGGAAAAAACACACAGACGGCAGGCCAGCAGTCTTTATTGGGGAGCAGCGGGGTCCTGGTTGGCGGCCGGGGTGGGAGCCGCGGCCAAGGCTGCCGCCCGCGCCTCCTTCTTGAGCCGCTGCTTCTCTTCCTTGAGGCGCTTGCGCTGCTGCTTCTCCAGGTCCTGCAGCAGCTCCTGGAAGCGGGCGCTCCTCGGGTCCACGTGGTAGCCCAGGCGCTCCTGGGCCTCGGCCTGCAGCCGCGCCCTCCTCTCCTTGTCGGCCTGCGCCTTCTCCCAGCGCTCCCGCTTCTGCCGCCGCCAGTCCTCGATCATCCGGGGCATCTTGGCCATGCACTCGGCGATGTGCTGTTCCCTGCAGGGAGAGCGGGGCACGGTGAGGGCGCAGAGTAGCCCCCCCAATCTGTAATCCGTGCCATGGACCTGTCAAAGGCTGGAGCAGGAAGGAGTCGAGTGACTCGCAGCCCCACCCAGGCTGTTGTCACGGGTGACCCCACCTCCATTCTGTAAGCATCACCCCACAGGTACAGTGCTAGGTGCTCAGCAAAGAAGGGACAAGAGTTGGCTAATCCTCTGCTTGCTAAGCTAGGCATCCAGTGTGGGCACCAGTTCGTATCCCGGCTGCTCCACTTCCCATCCAGCTCCCTGCCTGTGGCCTGGGAAAGCAGCCGAGGACGGCCCAAAGCCTTGGGACCCTGCACCCGCGTGGGAGACCTGGAAGAGGCTCCTGGCTTTGCATCGGCTCAGCTCTGGCCATGTGGGGAGTGAACCAGAGCGTGGAATATCTTTCTGTCTCCTTTCTGTAAATCTGCCTTTCCAATAATAATACAAGGCAAGAAACAAATGGACGTTCCGCTTCAGCGTGTGCAGTTCCATGGGGTACCAGTTACAGACCCATCTGAGAGATTCGGAAGGTTGAGGCCAGGGAGGGGCAGCCAGCTCGTCAGCCCACTGCCCAGGCCTCAGGGAGGAACGGCACCGTCCTGCAGACACCCCGGCCGGGTCACCTCGTCCTGGATCTGGGCCCTAAGCGTGGGTCACCTCGTCCAGGGTCTGCGCCCTAAGCGTGGTCACCTCGTCCCGGGTGTGCGCCCTAAGCGGAGTCACCTCGTCCAGGGTCTGCGCCCTAAGCGTGGTCACCTCGTCCCGGGTGTGCGCCCTAAGCGTGGTCACCTCGCCCTGGGTGTGCGCCCTAAGCGTGGTCACCTCGTCCAGGGTCTGCGCCCTAAGCGTGGTCACCTCGTCCCGGGTGTGCGCCCTAAGCGTGGTCACCTCGCCCTGGGTGTGCGCCCTAAGCGTGGTCACCTCGTCCAGGGTCTGCGCCCTAAGCGTGGTCACCTCGCCCTGGGTGTGCGCCCTAAGCGGGGTCACCTCGTCCCGGGTCTGCGCCCTAAGCGTGGGTCACTTCGTCCCGGGTCTGCGCCCTAAGCGTGGGTCACTTCGTCCCGGGTCTGCGCCCTAAGCGTGGGTCACTTCGTCCAGGGTCTGCGCCCTAAGCGTGGGTCACTTCGTCCCGGGTCTGCGCCCTAAGCGTGGGTCACCTCGTCCCGGGTGTGCGCCCTAAGCGTGGGTCACTTCGTCCCGGGTCTGCGCCCTAAGCGTGGTCACCTCGCCCTGGGTGTGCGCCCTAAGCGTGGTCACCTCGCCCTGGGTGTGCGCCCTAAGCGGGGTCACCTCGTCCCGGGTCTGCGCCCTAAGCGTGGGTCACTTCGTCCCGGGTCTGCGCCCTAAGCGTGGTCACCTCGCCCTGGGTCTGCGCCCTAAGCGTGGTCACCTCCACCAGGTCACCTCGTCCAGGGTCTGCGCCCTAAGCGTGGGTCACCTCGTCCCGGGTGTGCGCCCTAAGCGTGGGTCACTTCGTCCCGGGTGTGCGCCCTAAGCGTGGGTCACCTCGTCCAGGGTCTGCGCCCTAAGCGGGGTCCCCTCCGCCTCGCCCCGCACCCCGCCAGCCCCGCACCTCTCCCGGCTCCGCTGCTCCTCGGCCAGCTGCTTCTCCCGCAGCGACTCCTGCATGCGCGCCAGGCTCGGCCAGCCCGCGTCCTCCTCGGCCTGCAGCTCCCGCAGCCGCGTGCGCGACGGCCACAGCGCGCCGGGGGCCACCCCGGACGCCGCGCCGTGCCGCGCGAACTGCTTGGCGGCGTGGCGCGGCCCCCGCTGCCAGTGCGGGGTCAGCGGGGCCTCGTGGTCTGGCCAGCGGGGCCCCGGCGGACGACGCGGCGGCGGCGGCGCCCGGTAAGGCCGCACGCCGAGGCCCAGGCCGCCCGCCGGCCCGAGCAGCAGCAGCAGGCGCGCCGGCCGCACGCGCGCCGCCATCTTGGGCGCGCGGGGTCCTCGCGGGCCGGGCCGGGGTGGCCGCGGCGCTTGCCTGAGCGCAGAGAGGAGCGTGCGGGGCTTTGCAGCTCTGCCAGTGCAGCTTTGCATTGGATCCGGACAGTCACTTTTAGTACAGTCGTGCTGTACATGTCCAATTCAGTGTATTTTAAACATTTATTTATGTTTATTGGAAAGGTAGATAAACAGAGAGGAAGATCCTCCGTCCAAGTGGCTGCAACGGCTGGAGCTGAGCTGATCTGAAGCCAGGAGCCAGGAGCCTCTTCCGGGTCTCCCACGCGGGTGCAGGGTCCCAAGGCTTTGGGCCGTCCTCCACTGCTTTCCCAGGCCACAGGCAGGGAGCTGGGTGGGAAGCGGGGCCGAGGGGAGGTACCTTGACCTGACTCAGGGGCCTCCGGGCTCCTGCTGCTGGTCTTGGGGACTTGCGGGGTGGGGAGCTGCACGAGATCACCCTGGGAGGAGGGAGGTGGCCGCAGCCCGGCAGGATTGGGGGTGCTCTCAGGCACCCGCTAACTGGACCGCAGAGGGGCATGTTGGGGGTGATGGTGGTGACTGCGGGGAGCCGGGACGCGGCGGGACCGAGTGGCCCACATCCGCCCCCCTATATTTAGGGTCCCCAGGAGCGAGCTGGTGTCCTCTGCCACCTCGCGATTCAAGGAACCGCTGCCAGAGGACCAGCGCGGCCACAAGGGGTGGGGGTGCTGAGGGGTGGGGTGCAGTGAGGGGTGGGGGCGCTGAAAGTGGGGGTACAGTGAGGGGTGGGCTTGCTGAGGGGTGGGGGTGTTGATGGGGGTGCTGAGGGGTGGGGGCGGTGATGGTTAGGGGCTGCTAAGGGGAGGGGATGAGAGGTGGAGGGCGGTGAGGGTGGGGTGTGGGAAGGAGCAGAACCGTGGCTTCTCACGGTCCCTGGAGCCTTTTAGCTCCTCACCTGGGTGCGACATGCACGCCCTGTAGGGGGTGCGGGTCCACTGTGGCGGGCCTCTCCCCTCCCCCACTCTGCCTGTTGCAGCCGCCACCCCCAGCCCGCGTTAGCAGGCTGTTCCCACGGCTCCCTGCTCTGCGCTGGGGACGGACACCCCTCCTGCCCCATACCTGGCCCTCTTGCAAGCACGCCCGGGATCTTACTGCTTGGGGACTGCCCATTCTGCAGGCTGAATTTAAAAACTGAATGGAAAACGGCAATTTAAGGGTTTCTTTATGAGGGGGTGGGGCCTGGGAATGGTGGGTGTTATAGCATAGCCACATCTGAGATGCAGATTCGAGTCCAGGCGGCCTCACTTCTGATTCAGCTCTCTATGGCCTGAAAAAACTTGCTCCTCAAGTGGCCACAACAGCCGGAGCTGAGCTGCTCTGAAGCGAGGAGCCAGGAGCTTCTTCTGGGTCTCCCATGCGGGTACAGGGTCCCAAGGCTTTGGGTCATCCTCCACTGCTTTCCCAGGCCACAGGCAGGGAGCTGGATGGGAAGTGGAGCAACCGGGATTAGAACCGGCGCCCCTATGGGATCCCAGCGTGTGCAGGGTGAGGACTTTAGCCGCTAGGCTATCACTCCAGACCCTCTCAGCGACCCCATGACGCTGGCACTGTGGTGACTCTCCAGGGCACAGACAGGGAGCACAGGCCCAGAGCGGTGAAGGGAACCCAGGAGGGTTGGGATTGAACTTGAGCAAAGCCTAGCTGTATGATGGCATTTGGCTCCGATCCCTGTCCCTCCAGGGTTCCAGTAGCTGCCAAGAGCTTGGGTGTTGATCTTTCTCTTAGTAGAATTTGTCTTTCTCTGGTCCCCGGCAGAGCCCCAGCCTGGGGGGAGGTGTGAGAAGACAGTGGGTCTTTACCGCCTTCCTCCTGTGGGTTTACACAGGCGGCTCCCAGGTGACCCTGGGGGGCGGGGTGGGGAGAGAGGGGGCAATGGGGGCGGGGACAAAGGAGTTAAAAGAAGATGCTGAGGGCGAGCCGGGGTCCAGACTCCACTCCCAGACAGCAGGGTCGGCTGCTCGGGCCCCCCTGAGCCCCCAGACAGACACCCACGGACAGCCAGCCATGCAGGTGCTCCTTGGCCGGTTAGCTGCTTTCCTGGGCTTGCTCAGCGCAGCCCTGCTGCCCCTAGCATCCGGGAAGCCCAGACCTCAGCCCTGGGGCGCGAGCAATGAAACCCGTGCTGTGCCAGGAGGCGCCCCTGTGCCAGCCCCCGGCCTTGGCAGCTGGAAGGCCTTCCTGGGCTTACAGAGACCCCGGAGGCTGCGGGTGCATGGCGCTTCGCTGGAAGTGGCCCCTGCCACCATCTCTCTGCCGCTGGATCCTCAGGAAGTGACCCAGGAGGTGTGCAAGGCTGTGCCCTTCACGCAGGTGAGTGGGATGGGGAGGTGGACGGAGCCGCCTGGATGCCAGGCAGCATTGGCCGGGTGCAGGCTGTGCCACCCTAACCCCCACCACACTCCACCTGCATCTGAGCTTGGCTTCCAGCAGGTCTATTTCCAGCCAGCCACTAGAGGGTGCCCGTGATCCGTCTCCCCTCTGCAGGCTCACAGCTAGCTGAGCCTGAGTCAGGTCAGGCCGAAGCCTGGAGCCAGGAGCTAGGAGCTCCTTGGGAGTCTCCCGCGTGGGTGCAGGGGCCCAAGGCCGAAGCCAGGAGCCAGGAGCTCCTTGCGAGTCTCCCGCGTGGGTGCAGGGGCCCAAGGCTGAAGCCAGGAGGCAGGAGCTCCTTCCGAGTCTCCCGCGTGGGTAGAAGAACCCAAGGCCGAAGCCAGGAGCTCCTTCCGAGTCTCCCGCGTGGGTGCAGGAGCCCAAGCACTTGGCCCATCGCCTCGTTTTCTTCCCCAAATGCATGGACAGAAAGCTCCACTGGAAGTGAGGCAGCCAGGACTCGAACTGGCGCCCGTGCGGGATGCCGGCACTGCTTCTAGCTTCCTTTTTCTGAGCTTCCGTGGCTGCCTCTGCCAGTCGAAGTGAGCCATTGGTGCACTAGTGCTGGTGACCCGGCCTGGCTGGGGGTCAGCTCCCACGAGCCCTTGGCTTGGCCTTTGTCCAAGCCTGACTGGGTGACCCCCCCCACCCCCACCCCAGGGCCGGCCGCTCCTCTCGCTCCCAGGGACAATACTGCCCCTGAGTCACAAGTCAGGTTAGGTAAGCCTCCATCTGTCGTACCAGCATCCCACATGGGCACCGGTTCAAGTCCTGACTATTCCACTTCTGATCCACCTCCCTATTAGTGCTCCTGGGAAAGTAACGGAGAACGGCCCAAAGCCTTGAGACCCTGCACCTGCATGGGAGACCCGGAAGAAGCTCCTGGCCCCTGGCGTCGTCCTGGCCCTGTTGTGACCATTTGTACAATGAACCAGTGGATGGGAGATCTATCCAAAATGCCCGAGCGAGGGACAATCATCAGACAAAGACCTGGCCTTCGTAGCAGAGAGAAATAGAAGGAATAAAAGCGATTCTCAAAGAGACAAAACTTGCCATCGCCTTGACATTGCCAGGAAAGGGATGGCGGGTGCCTTGAGAGAGACCACCAGGGGGCGGCATCTCCTCCGCAGGTGCACGCTGGAGCGAGGGAGGAATTCTTAACGTTGCTTGTGGAGGGATGAAGGGGCTTCAGGCAGCAGCCCAGGTGGAAGGGAGGACTTGAGGGGGAGGTGGGGCGGCACCCTGGGGTGAGCTGCCAAGTGCAAGTGTCTGGTATGAGTCCCTACACGCCCATCCTCCATCAAGCTCCCTGCTCACATGCCTGGGAAAGTAGCAGGTGATGGCTCCGAGGGCCTGGGTTCCTGCACCCACATAGGCAACCCGGGTGGAGCTCCTGGCTCCTGGCTGCAGCCTGGTCCAGTCCTGGCCGTTGGGGCCACTGGGGGAGTGAACCAGCAGGTGTTAGCACTCTGTCACTCTGCTTTCCAAATAAATAAATATCTGTTTATAAAGCAGAATTTTTGACGTTTAGAAGTCCTTTGGGGGAGGGTGTAGGGAAGGAGAGAAAGGCTGTGACTTGGGGTATGATATGCAAAGTCTAGTTTTAGGTGTTTACGCGTTTATTTGAAAGGCAGAATTAGAAATAGGTTCCATGCGCTGGCTAACTTTCAAGATGGCTACAAGGGTAAGGTTGAAGGCGGGAGTTCCATCCGGGTCCCCCATGTGCCTGCAGGATCGTCCAGTCATCGCTGCTTCCCCAGGCACATTGGCAGGGAGCCGGTTCGGAAGTGGAGCATCTGGGACTTGAACCTTGGCTACGGGAGGCAGCTTGATTTCAACATCCACTTGTCTGTCATGCTTGGGTGGCCCCAGATTGCCAGCTGACGCCTCGGGTGGGGGGTGTTCCAGACTGCATTCTCCCGGCCTTCTCTGATTGCCCCCTTCCCGTTCAGGTGCTCTCCAGACCCGGCTGCTCCGTGGCACGCCTGCGCAACCACATCTGCTTCGGCCGCTGCACCTCGGTCTTCGTGCCCGGCTCCGACCCTGCCTCGCTGGCCCTCTGCAACAGCTGCGAGCCGGGCCGCCAGCGCCGGGCCCCGGTGGTGCTGTGGTGCCAAGGGGGCGGGCCCGTGTCAACGTGGCGGCACGTGAAGATGTCCACGGTGTTGATTGACAGCTGTCAGTGCAGCCCAAAGCCATGAGCCTTCCTCTTTTCGGTGGGGTGTGGGTGGCGGGAGGCGGGCTCTGAAGCACCCAGAGAGACCAGGGGCGCAAGGGGTGGGCAGGCAGGTCCCCAGAATAACTTTCCCCCATTTCCTGAAGGTGCAAGGGCCCAAGCGCTGGAACTTAGGGTCTTCATAACCCACGCAAGGCTGGGCACGTGGTCTCATTTGCAGAACCCTCAAGCAGGCACTCTCCCCCACCCCCGCCCCAGAGAGAGGACTCATCCCCGTTTTGTGGATAGACAAACTGAGGCAGGGTCCCTCAGTGGCACACCGGGATTTAGATCCAAGGCAGTGAGATGCCTGCTTTTTTCAAAAGGCAGAGAGAAATAGAGAGAGAATCTTTGATCTGCTGGTTCG